ATTTATTAAGTCCGGATATAAACGGCGGGGAGGACGGTGGGTGGGAACGTCATAATTCCGAGCCGACCAACCACCCACCCACTCGGCCCCGAGCAGTAGTAAGAAGAAGAAGAAAGGAGAAAGTGGAACTTACAGCGACATAAAGAATGATAAACTCATATGGGATTCCAAATCTTGCGCGAACGAGGTAGTAGACGAAGTAACTGAGTGTTCCGATAGTACCTATCGAGCAGACGAATTGGATGAAACGGAGGAAGTAGTATCCACCATTCGGCCAAGGTGTTGGGTTGCTTCTAGTGTATTTTGCCATTTTTGATGATTCTTCTTAAGTTTTTTTTCCTTCGAGATTCCTTCGATCAAAAGCTGGTTGTTGGTGAAGTTTGTTGGTATGTGTTTATATATGGTATAGAGTTGTGCTTTGTAGGCGATAGGAGAGAGAAAGAGAGAAAAGGAAAGTCGTTACTACGTTGATGAGGGTTTGGATGTTTCTTGTTGGATGATGATGATGATGATGGTGGTGATGGTGATGATGTGGGAGGGAGGATTGGAGGTGGTTTAAAAGGGGCGTTGAAGGGATAGCGTTACAACTCTTGGTAGCACCAGCAGGTACTTTTTTCGTTTCTGTTTCGTGAACCACTGGGGTCTTATTTCGCCTTATTCTCCAGAAAAAACCCGACACACAGAGTGGAAATAAGAGAGAGAGGGGAGAAAGAAGAGAGAAAACCAGAAACTCCTGCGAAAGGGAATTGGGAACCTTGAAGTTTATGAACACAGGAAAAAAAAAAAGTAGAGGAGGAGGAAGGAGAAAAAAGAGGAGGAGAGGTTGCGGCTGGCGAGGCTACTTACTTGTAACGAGTAAGTCTGTAAGTAACTGTCAGCTTGAATAAGATCAGATCCACCTTGCAGAAAACAGTAAAGAAGACCTTAACACGATTATATCGCCCCAAAAGCTGCTGCACCCAAGCTTCTAGCCGCATGGGATCGTGGCCAAGTATTTGAGTTTTTTTTTTTTTGGTACTTCTTCTACATACTTTTTTGTGGGAGCTGAAAAAAGGTCCCCCTTCTCGCAGCCTTACCGGCGTATACTACTGTGTGTAGTATGTAGGCATGTCACCTTTCTTTTCTTCTTTTTGGTTTCTCGGTAAAGGCTGGGGAGCAAAGAATAGGTGAAGGGTCTGATAATGGGAATATTCTAAAATCGGTACTGTACTTTCCAGCCGCAGCAGGCAGGACTCGATACCAGAGTGGGTGCGTGTGTGCGGCTGAGCTTTTTTGCTTTGTGCTTCCAAATTCTGCTACCCTTGTAGATATTCCCGAGGTATTACCTAGGTACTTTTGGCCCAGACGATACCTTGGTGGGTTCACTCAAAACGGCATTGTCAGAAACTGGTATCTACCGATTTTCTTGGCGGGAACGGACGAGACATTGTACATGGATGTCTTTACTTCTCTTCGACTTTTATAATTGTAGTCTTCGAAAGATCTCCAGTTCGTATAATCCCTTCATGGGAAATGATTTGGATATATACCATTATGTAGGGAAGTTATCTGGAATTCAGCCATAAACATATTGTACTCGTTGATCGATAAAGGCAGCCTTAGCTAGCTACAAAGCAAAGGAAGCCCAGGATCAGCATAAATATGTGCATACTCCCCCAAGAAAAACGGCTGACAAGCAGCTAGATCGTATTTAGATGATGAGATTTCTCTTGGGTCCATAAGCTCACCCTCTTTCTAGCTAGCTAGCTAGCTACATAAACACATAGTTTGACGTTATGGTGGGATTATCATCTTTTCAGCCTCAATGCCCAGACGAAGCTATTGTCATGCAATGTGTAACTTAAGTTAAGTATAGCTTGTGTGGAAATCCAACGAAAAAGCTGTAATGTACTCGGTAAGGTGTAAGGCGGCAATTGATTCATACTGTTAATTCTCAAGGGGCCGCGTTCACACGAAGATCTCGAGGACCCTTGACTTTATCCACAGTGTAGTGTAGAATTCACATCTCATCCTCAGTTAAAGATCACCCCATATATCTCCACCCTGCCCATCCACAAGCATGCTTCTTTTTCAAAAGGTGAGTGTCAGAGAGGTTGAAAGGTAAGAGAGAGAGAGAGCTATCAAAGCTCAGGGCTGTGCAAACAAGAAAGATAATTACCCTTTTCAATCCTTTGCCCAGATCTTCAAATCCTCACGCTGTACACCCGCCAAGAATTTCTAGTGGGGTACCAGTTTGTTCGTTTTTTTAGGATTCTTTAAATAGAACACACCGCGCCCGGCCACAAAATCCCTGGGATTTCAGGAACATACCCTTGTTCCTTGGGGTTTGTTGTCTTGGCGCAAGGGAGGTTTTGACTGTTTTTGGGGATGTGAATGGGGTGCAAGGGCATGTGGGATTCGATTGGGTGAGGTACGAAGATGTAGAAATGGGTGAGGCTGTGCTGCTGCCATTTAATTCTTTAAATTGATGGATTTGAAGGTGAATGGATCGATGTTCATGTATATACAACGTATGCGGTTTACTCGTGATTTTGAGTGTGTCGTTTGAGTTGACGCGACGATGCAACTGCTTGTCGATTCAGGAACCGAATTCCGAGGTTCCCTTTTTCGTCCGTGGAAGCGAGCGTATTTCTGACAGGGTGTTGGACACCGGCGTGTCGCAAAATCGGATTCTTCAAGTTCGAATTCGTTTGGAGATACTAGATGCATTCATCTAGATCAACTAGCTTTTGGTACGCTACTACTGCGAATGTCGAATATCTTATACCGGAAAACAATTCTGCGATATTTGATGTTTGTGCTTTATACGATATCTACATATATACATTGTATGCACTAATTTCCCCTTTGTTTGCTTGTGTTTCTACCACAGCGTTTAAACGTTTGATGATATATAACAGACTGTTTGATCTTTGTAGCAGATTTGATCCGTCGACATGTCCTGTTGGTATTCAGTTCGCTTTTTAAAGCGGCAGAGTTAGAGGTCGACAAAGGGTGCGCTCGCTCACAACTAATTAATTAATATAAGTATCAATATCCATGAAAACCGGGAATATGATACTTCATACCTTATATATTCGAATTCCCAAGTTTGCCTACTAGACACGCATTCTGTCATATACTAAACCCCTTCCCGTCGACCCCTGCATTAATTTGCACTTCCGTCTACACTTCTGTCCCGTCATATCGATAATATTATATTATCATAAGCTGTATTATATTATACATTGCGTTATATATATTCTAACCAAATGTGCACCCAACCGAACTACCATTTCACTCTCTGCGGTCACTCTACTCTATTCCCTGTCCAGAAATGTAGGAATATAGTCTGCATAGGCACGGATATTGATGATGATATCCCGGTGAAGGAACTTGTGGTGGAAGGATATTGTAGACGGTGTCAGAGGAGGTTTATAAAGAGAATCTGATTTTTTCCTATTTTCCGGGACGGAGTAACGTTTCTTTTCCTTTGAATCGGGGTGATCGTTTGTAGAGGATGTAGTCCGCTAGCTATAGCTACTTAAGGAGTTTTCATGCGAAGAGCGTGATACAAAGCGAGCCAGCATTTGATCATAGATACAGGTTCAAGCAAGGTGAATCTGGGCTTGGAAGTCTATCTCGCCTGCTACTCCTGGGGGTTTTCCCTAGAGAAATCGATAACGGCTGCCTCTTAATATTGGCTGTTTGAGGGACATGTGCATGCTAGGGTCCTCGTCATATCCCTCCTAGCCTTATGGATAGCTCTACCCGATATCCGATCGTCATATATTTGGCCGCACCCACCCGCCACTCGAACAAATTTGAGGCTTGTGCGACCCGATCCAGATCTTCGTCCGAAACCGGAAATACCACACACTCAACGCAATTCGAGAAACGATGAAAGAGCTACATCAACAAAACTGTACTATTCTGCAAATCGGAAACACACCCCGGAAGCCATACAAAAAAAAGCCTTTAAGATCTTGAAAACGAAATAAGTCCACTTATTCTCAAAAATAATGCGTCGGAATAAAAATTAAACCAGTCAAAAGGAGAAACGCAATCACTTTGGTTGCGGTTGCGTTGAATGGATCGGATATTGGCGGGACCTTTACATTGGAGGTTCCATCGTATCGATATTGAGGTTGTGTTCCCTCTGGATCGTCTAAGTCGAGGCGTTGGTATCTGTAGTGCAAGAACTTTGGCTGGGGAGGGGATTCGGGAGTGCTCATAGTTTAAGATCTAGTGTTTTATTTGATGGTGTGTATATCTCTGAGGAGGAGGGGGGGAGGATGGCGCTTGAGTGATCTCGTATATTAGAGTTTAGGCGATAGGTAATATACTTAGAAGTAATATATTAAGTAGAGGTTATGGGGTTTGGTTTGGTATGGTCTGGAGGCAAGACGGGTGCGCATGCGAGTTGACAGTTGAGGAGTCTGGCGGCGAGACAAAATATGGCGATATGATCCTAATCCTAGATTATATCAATAACCTGTTAAAACAATGACTAGATATGTAGATATGTGTCGCAAAATCGGGAACTAGCGAGTCTGAAACCTTAATGTATACTATTGCTGCATCTAGATTATACAATACTAAAAAGTTCATTGCATTGAGCTTCTATGATATGCTCTAGGCTTAAATGTGAAGGACAGTCAAATTAACAAACTTTTAGCCGCGTGAGGAGAATTGAATCTGTTGAGCTTGCTCTTAGAGAATTGTAAGGACGACAAGGCTGATTAATATTGGAAGGTTCCACCATCCAAACTAGCAAACGATCCATTGCACACTTGCCTCTCCTGCTAGACTTTTAGCAAACCGGTTTTGTTTCCTGCGAGCAAACATATAAACCTATGTTGATCTTGAAATATCCAAATCAAGCTCACACTGACTAAAAGAGTAGCTGGAATAAGGTCGTACTATCTCTTCTAGTCCTTCATATTCCACCACGTCTTTCCTAATAACTTCTATAAAAAGGGTACCAGACTTAATAGAAAAATAAGTCTCTTCTCCAAATACCCTTACGCCAATACTATAACGTCTCTATCTTACTCACCTGGAATCACAAATCTTTTTCGGCTAGTTCTTCTCGAGGCCATAATATTTTATACAGAAATGTGTATCGTCAACGAATATATCTCCCGTACAGGCTGCGGCCACAATGTCGATGTATTTAGGAGATGCGCAAAGGCTATCAATGAAGGTCAAATACAATGTGACTCAACCTATATCGCCAAACCTATCTCTTTGGAGAACAAGCGCTGCGAAAATTGTGAAAGCAACGATAAGAATGAAGTCCCTCAAAGTTAGTAAAAAATATATCTAGCTTCAGAAACTATTTACTAACGGTTAAAATTATATATCGCAGATCAAAAGCCAAAACCAAACCGGGCTAAAGATCTTTTCGACAAACTTCTGCAGTACCCCCGTCGTATTAAACATGATACTCACGAGAGATTTTCTCCCCCAAGGCGGCAACAAGTGGCATCGATGGCTAATGGGAGGTGGAAAGGGGGCCAGGGAATTAGAAAGACACGACCTAAGTCGAGGAAAAGGGATCGAATCGAGTTCGATGCGGCCTGCGTTGATTACCTGACCATGGAGCTTGACTATGGAGAAGCCAAAGAAAATAATCGACTTAAACCCGGTCGTAAGCACACTGGGCCTGTATAAATTTGGCGCACATGAAGTTGGAAGATGACTACCTTTAACGTCGCAGGACGAACCGGTTATGGTAGACACACATAGCTCTATAGCTGTATTTGTGGTATAGCTATTATCTTCTTATTATATTGAACTGTCCCCCCAAAACAATTTTACTACTCTTCATTATTTTTATCCCCCGATTGTACGATTTGCTTCCTTTTCCTTTTGTTTGAATTGTTCATGTATTGACTTTGAGAGTTTTTATAATTCATTGAAGTTTGAACCTTTGAACCCTTTTATGAGGGTAGGGAAAACACGCATAAGATCCCCTAGGTTTCCGTCTTCGAGCCATTTTGTCTCAGAAACTTGCTGGGCCCATGCATGCGTGGGGTTTTGTAGGGGTATTACCTGCGTATATCTGTCTAGCTGTTATAATTTTGCCTTGGAGTTCCTAAGAGATACTAGATTTAGATACTTTCTCCAACGAGAGTTTGAACTTTGGCCGTCCGTTTTGAAGATAAAATTTCAAGAGTTCGATTTGAACCTATCCAGGATTATCACAGCAAACACGAACACAGAAAAATACCAAATTTACATATACGGCCCTTACACATATATAATATATCCTGCAGTCTGAAACCTAGGAGTCAACAACGTAATCCCACTCCATTCTAAAATGTGCACTCGAAAAATCAAAAGGTGTTTTCAGTGTAAATACTTTGGCGTCGTCGATGTAAAACACTGTCCAGGGAGGGATGCAGGTCTCTTCGGTGCCTGCATAGGATGGCTTGCTGAAAGGACGTGGTATATCGAGTGTCCCGCTTGTTGTCGTTCAGGATCTCCATCGGAAAACCATCTTCTTGCTGATACCGATCAGCCTGAAGTCATTGATTCGGGTAGCGGAGAAATGAGTTATCATGATTCTGGTTCCGATGATCTAGATTTAAGGTCTGGAGAGGCTACAACTGAATGGTCTCCTCTAGATTAGAGTAATTCAGTCAGTTCATATTGTTTAGTTTCTTCCGGTTAGTTGTGTAACACAATTACGGGAAAATTGGTTTCAAGAGTTTATCCAAGTAGTTTACCGCAAAACCCACCATGCGGTGCTGGGCCGGGCTCGTTTGCGAGGTGCAATGATTGTCGAGTTAGAGATTATTTGAATAACAAACCAACTGCCCAAACCTCTAATTTCCGATTAATAGTCAAATAACGCTAGAGAAAATACTGCTGGGTCAAGATATAAGCCTATGCTCCTTGGGGAAATAAACTATAGCCAGTTAGATAGTAGTACATGGCTGTTATGCAAGAACTATTATACTTAGAGCCAACCGCTCTAAGTATTCTGGTTTGTGAGAACTAGATCTATAGAGACGGGCTAGATCCAAGTATATAGCAAGGGATATGTGTATATGTAAATCGTATTATAATTTATAAAGTTAACCAGTCCACGTGGTTGGTGCCTAGTTAATCTTTATCTGTAGCCCAACTAGCGCTAACGGCGCATATCATGTTAACTATTGGGTAGGATTAAGCCCAGGGTACCCGCCTATCTGTATAGATTTAATATGAATCTAATCTCTATATCAATTCAACTTGAAAACAGAGAATAATTCATATTTTTTGAAGTGGCGCCATGGCTGGGCAATATAGTTAGAGGGGCCCTAGGGGAACGGAATTATATTTCCGCGATGTGACTATAGTTCTATGTATGTTTCCCATGGCTTGAGTTAAACAAAAGAATTCTTAAGCAGTCTGTGTTTGAATTGCCTAGGGCTGGTTTAAAAGCCAGGTCTCAAGCCTAAGCCCCGGGCCTCTCGTTTTCGAGATTCGGGGGTTAGAGTCTCAGTTGCAAAATGACTTCGGAGTCATGAGTCAGTAAACTTCCGAAAGATAAAGAATTACCTTGGAGGAAAAGAAACAGCAAAATTAAAGCTGTAAGCGGTCCCAAACTATACGGCATTGTGGCTGCACCAGGAAGAATCGCATCGCATATCCGAGACTTTAGGCGTTGAAGGATACATGCATGCAGTGCGAATTAATTGCGAAAAAAAACAAAGGAACAAAAGGCATATTATCAAATTTTAAGGGAATAGCATATCGTATAGTCAAACCCCACGCGTGGGGAGCTTTGCATTTCATTGCATGGGAAAGAGAAACAAAAATCGACAAGAAGGTGACGTTAGTGTTGGTGCCTTCCTGCTGCCTTGATATCGATGATAAAAAAAATTTCATTGTGGGGGTTATGTATCTCATTTGTATCTCTTCCCCGCTTCATATCATGGGGGTGCCCGTGGAAGTGATTGGATTATCTATTCGTATACGATCCTGGATTTCCCGAGAAGTTGGGTTTAGTGAAAGACTGTGCTTGGGGACGACCGTATATCTTGTAGACGGAAATCCCTCAAACCGTGCTTACGAAGCTGTGTAACACCCCACCCTGCCTCCCTTGCAGAGGTTCGGGATGGGGTTATTCTCGGCGAGAGCTTGCTGGCCTAGGTATGGGGGTTTATGATATAGACCGAGGTAACATCCTTTCGGCCGCAACTAGACCTAGGACCAGGACGATCTGCTAGTTGTCGATATCGATCTTGAGTTCATCGAAAGTCTCTGTATTTCCGATCTCATGCTCCGAACCTAAAGGGAAGAGTACCCAGAGTAAGAATCCAAAAGAGGAGAAATTGTCTCGTCAACATTTCAAACCGGCCACTTGGCAGATTTCTCCATCCTCGAGACCCCATGAATTTGAAGCGTATAGAGTCCCAGAACGATGAAAAGCTATTGAAGCCTCTACTATAGTGACTGAATGTTACCACCCCATCATTGTATCCATATTATTTTGATGACCGTTAGGTGTCGGAATTTCGAAATCTTTCCCCAGATCACGTCATCTCGTCACCCCAAGTAAGACGTATATTACTAGTACTCTTGAGGCGACTCCGCAAAATTTGAAAGTTTTCCATCCCCTATTAGGGATCACCGTCCACGATATTTTTCTCCACGACATTCAGTTAAATTCGAAAATGGCCGAACGATAGCCTACAAACACCATTATATCGAACTTCACCGATGGGCATTAGGACCTCTCGATCAAGGGTCTGGGAAAATCTGGGGAAAACAATCCTACCGACATCGACGAATAGACTGCTCACGCGACCGACAGAGACCTCGATGGCGCCAAAGTATGGGTTAAAAGGCAGCATACTTTGACACGACAATCCCTAGACGGCCTCCGACTTAGTTCGACATACAGTTACATAACAACTTTAAAAATAAAGCAGGAAGAATTTTCGTTCAACTCGTCGGGCCGCGGGAAGCGTCTACAGGGTTAGGCTGTGCACTGGACCAGCCCTCGGACTTCTATGGCTATTACATACACGTCTCTGGGATATCATCACAGCATGGGCATGCAACTTTCGTATCCTACTAACCAACCTATGATGGAAGACTTAATGGCCAGATTCTACGAGTATAGGTTGCTGTCGCGAGCAATAACGAAACGGAGACGACAATCTATCGCATACCTCATGATATGAATCGATTATTCCGCCGTACCGCAGCCGTAAATATGTGCCCCAGGAAACCTTCTGTGAACTCGATCATCTCCAAAATAAATCGTCGGATCAGGGGCGGAATCCTCATCCTCATCCTCGAGAAGTATTGCGATAGATCTGTGTTCGAAATTATGGTTCAAAGTCTAGAGCCCAGGATACGGCGGAGTTACTTTGCCTACAGTCACATTTCCCGGATAAGCGTATAAAACGACTGGATAGTTTTAAACTCGAAAGTTCTTACCAACACCGACCTAACGTCAACTTCAAATTCCCTAGACTACAAAGCGTTCGCATAAAAAGAAAAAACATTCCCAAGCTAGATAGAGAAATTGCCGTAGCCATGTGCAAGCAGACAACAAAACATTGCCTTAACTGCGGATTCAGCAAAGATCATGGTTGGTCAGTTTGTAATAAAGCTGACCCGAACTATTTCTTTATGTGCAACAATATAGATCGGGATTCAAACAAATTTTTGGCCAAATATTGCTGCCAATGCCCATTCGGGGAAGCTAAACTCCAAGGAGAGGAGCCAGTTTGCATTTGCAAAAAGGGGCCCAATGATCTCGACACAAATTTGCTATCCCAGCAGCTTGAGGGATCTTTGACCCTGGAAGATACCGAGTTCAAGACATGTAAAGAGTTGGCTCAAAGGTTTTATGAATCATTGTCTCTCGACTATCCCAAGGCCAAGATAGATAAAGGGCTAGCTCAAAAGCTTGAGGAATCATTGACCATCGATGATACCGAACAAGAACCTGGTACTCCGGGCCCGTCTCGAAACCGATATAGATCTACCCCGCAGTCGTCTCGTACTCGGACTAGAAGTCCCTATTACATGTCTCGTGACAGATCTAGAAGCCCACCTCGTAACCGAAGCCCACGTCCGTTCCGTGACAGGTCTAGCCCATAGCCCTCCCGTGACAGTCCTGCACGCGGTCGGGAATTTAAGCTATGCACAGTATATTGGTCCAATTATGGAACTTTATAATTAGTGCCATTATTCGGGTCTCATAATATTGGTATAGATCTGCTCTAAAGTCGCTAAATCGATAATTTGTTGAATGGAAATTAAAGCTAGCCAAACCTCAGCTGGTATTAGTCGAGTTCATTTAGAATCTATTTTACTCTACGATAGTAGTATGCAATAGACAAATTTAAGATTGATATGCTTTTTCTTGGCCAGCGCCACGCTAATGGAATCTATTAAGTACACGCTCTCTTGGTCATAAAGTTGGATATATGTCATCCTTTCTGCCATTGGCATCCATTTCCATGATGTGATAGACAATCATCGCACATATAGCCTTGACACCTGCTACAATGTTGTAATTGCCGACAGCCACAGGAAAACTTTCTGCACGCTTCGCAGTTGAATGATTTATTCATCGACCGTCGCTGTAGGAGACATATATGCCGAGAGCAATAAAGACACTTTTCGGTTTCGAGTTTGAGGCACTCTGGATGGTTGTAATGTCGGTTATCATGCCATTTGCATTGAGAAGTTCGGCATAGGGTAGTTGTGAATTCAGATGGGATCCGAGCCGGGGTTGAAGTTGCTTGGTTCTTTGTTAGCACTGGTTTCTTTGGTCATGGGAACATAGGAAGATTGAATAAACTTACCCGGACGTGGAGATTTTGAAATCTTGCTATCTTTGACACAATCTACGCAGAGATAGGTCTCACAAATCTCACAAGACGACTCAAACCGGCACTTCGGACAGATCTCAATCTGTAAGTACTTTTTGCAACTACCACATTGTACCTTTTCTCCAATGCATAGCATGAATATCGAATGGTGGGTGCTTTCACATTTTCCGACATCTGTCTCAAAATTCCTTATGAAGAACTGGACACCAATCTGGCTAACTAGTCGGTGTCCATTCTCTGGACTTTCGTCGAGTAGTACTTGAATCCCGTCTATGTCCCATATTCGTAGTCGTTGGATCTGCTCTGCTGGACTTTTTGATTTGGAGCGTTCCTGATTTACGCCATTGAAATAATTGACTTCCTCTATATGTGCTTCCGATGTCTTTTTAAAAAGTTTATAAAGAAGCTGGAGATTGACATTCCAGCAGTGTCGAAGTGAAAGGGTGGTTATATTTTGGAGCTTCCTCAGGAGGTGACCGACATCGCCGGCGTCGATGTTTGTGCCATCGAGGATTAAGGAGGTAAGAGTTTCGAATGCGCCAATGTTGTACAAGCTCGAATTTAGCTTTAGGAAATCGCGGTCTCCAGCGGAAACATCAATGATGACGAATTCTCGACCCCCAACATAGCCTTCTCGCGAACTCGGTGGTACCCCTAACGATAATCTTCGTATTCTGGGATCGGGATTAGGGTAGTCAACTTTTCGGGTTGATAGGCGATTGAGTAGCCAGGCCCACCTGCCCTTATCTTGAATATTTGTTTGATGTAGTTTGCAAGTATTCCGGAGATTGATTATGTCTTCGATATCAAGATAGCTGGATATTCCTTGCGCAGTCGGATATGGCGATTCAAACACTCGTTCGAGGAAGTCCGAAAGCGGCGCTGGCGCAGGATAAGATGAGATCGAAGGTGGAGAACCGACTGAACTTGCATGAGGACTGGAAACACCAGCTATTGTCAATGACAATAGTGGTTGGTTCCCTTCCTTCATGTCTGATCTGTCTGATATTTGATGAAATGGCGGGGAGAAGATTGGAGCGATATGGCGTGCTGGATGCAGGTATGTCGCAATATTGCAATGATTTGTAAGCCCTGTCAGATAATGCAACAAACGGTGAGAAACTACGTCGTTCTTTTCAAACCATTTAAAAAATTATTTTTTCATTGCAGGAATCTATCTTGACATTTTTTTGTATGATCTAGCACGAGCCTTTATAGAATTTAGGAGGGATATTTCGGGACGATTTTATATGCGCCGTTGTGTTTGAAGCAACGAAAACGTTAGAAAGTATCGTCCCACGTTTAAGTACTGCAGGTTCGACCGGGGACGATGCGCAGATGTGGGGCCTGGTGTCGACTCAATCAGGCAAACTCGAGCTCCCCAAAAGATGCAAATTTGCTTCCTATCGCTGTATGCCTACGGGGTTCTCGAGCGCCACCGCCTCATCTGCGGAAACTTTCCCAGGTATTCCCAACCCAGAAATATTATTTATAAAGTTAATTCGGCTCGGGAGAACCGAACTTGACAAGTGGGACGAGGGCACGGGCAATACCCCAGGGCTCAGGTCTAGATTGAGCGGTCCTTGCTCTTACTTGCTTGATGCTTTCGTGGGGTTACGCGACGACACACATAGTAAATGCAGCTGTGCATCAGTTGAAGCAATATTTCTCCTCATTAAGGCCATGGGAGGGGAAGGTTATCCAATCGGCTGGGCCCAGTATTTACCCCAAAATCATCCGATCAACGTGTTCAACATATCCAACCTAAAACGTGGCTGTCGATAGTTGATAGTTGATGGCGTCTTTTGAAGTGCCATTATTATTGACCAGTGACCTCATCAATGATTCCTAATCTCGTGAGTAACTTGCCACTTAAAATCTAGTATAGCGCGGCAACCGAAATACTGTGCCGTAACTGATTCCTTTCATGGCGTCACGCAGACAGATTCCCATCGTAGAGAAGCTCATGTTTGTTGTTTAGCTGAGATGCCACTTGACTAAACGTGGGGTGGATATAGGGTTAAATATACGCATTTCGATTTTTCTGGCAAGCAGTTTATCGGACCTGAGCGACACGATTCTGAAGCCATGACTAGTGGGGTATAAAAAATGCTTATTAAACTCAAGGTTATTCGCGGCTGAGAGATAGGTGTCCTGCGCACGCGACCCATATAAGAATTGGTCCTATCGACTAAACCTAAAGCGACGAAGCTTTGTCGATACCCCTTGCTACTACCATTCATGGTAGGTAAACTGAAACTTGCAGATTCAAAATGGGAAAACAATTCTAAACTCCCACTTTCGAGAACACTTGATCGCTTTAACTAAACTAAAGCGGAATATAATTAGCTAATTAGTGCCGCATGGTCCAGCAGCCTAGTGGAGCCCGATCGCCAGAGCCCGTTAACTCCATTATCGGTGGGGGTAGGGTTTAGCGATACATTCCAAGCAGCAGGGTTCTTTCATATTCTATGGTCTCGACTTTGCTTAAAAATGAGGGTAAAGGAATTCGAATCATTCCGTTTCGTTGGAAGTGTCGGGGCAACTGAACAGGTTCAAATAAACGAAGAGTAACTGATTGGATTGTTACAGGTGGGATAACTAAATGTTCCGCGAAACAAAGAAGTGGGTCTTATAGTTAGCTCACTCACCTTCCCCGAGGTTCGATGTCTATCGATTCGCGTAACAAGTGCTGTATCTTAGTTGATATCGTGATTATGTCTAGACCGTCAAGCGTCGCCAGCGGGCCAGCTGTCCATTTTATACATATGCGTCCCGGCCCTTGAAACGTTCAAAACGCATGCGTTACCCAGATCTCTGGCACGAAGCCTTGACCGAACTTTATTTATTTTCCCCTATCAAAAAATGAAAATGTCTTGCATCATTGAGGGGTCGTTGTCGTATATTCGTGACGACAGAAGAATCACCAAATAGCCAATCCAAAGGCTGCATTCCATGGTGGTGCAATTGTGGAGAATTATGCTGTCATATACACAGGAAGCTAAACCAAATTGGTCCATGAGTATTAGCCTTAATACTCGAAGCCACAGATGTGGCTAGTGAAGCAACATCTGTTAGTGTCCAAATCTTTGGTTTTCATTTCCGAAATGCTACTATAGCGCATCAAACGTGAATGGAGCACACCAATAGCTTCACTCATCACGGTGGCTTTGGTTTACACTTATAACTCTAAAGCAGGCTGGCATTCCAACGTTCTCGCCCAGCTTAATATTGGAAGCGACTCATGTCACACAACAGTTGGTAACACAAAGATAGAAATCTTGTCGACAACACAACATCAGGGTCAGAAATCCAACAATGTTGGACTAGTACGGGCTCTTGTGTTGCCTGCTGCTGGGATAGAGGCTGGATATCGGTATATCTTACGTCTGCGTCCGCTTTGACCCAAGTAACCCTCACTTACAAGGCTCTTTGAGTCAGGGTAATATTTCTAGACCTTGAATACGGGAGGTTTTTGCGCTAGTTATCAGCCCCGACTCAAAATCAATAGTAATATAGAACCCACATGGGCTAGCTTGCATGATAGGCTTTGTCCATAGACATGAATTGTGTTGTATATGATCCTATGGAACAGTAGCAGCCAAGCTTAAGGTCTAAGATATTCGGCTGAAAGCTCCAAGACAAACACCGTATCTGTCGGTCATTAAAATCTTATTATCACGATTAGAACAATTATATTATAATCATCCGTTCTGCCGTAATTTAGCACTAAAGTGTAGCTTTATAGTGTATATACACTAACTACCCCAGTTTGCAACATTTGGATCAGTCAGCATAAGCACCGAATCGAGCACAGCGTGTCCCGCGCTAACCGAAACTGGGGCGGGCTGACCCCAATCCCTTCTCGAAATAGAAAGAGGCGAAGTTCTTGAACTTGTCCAAGAGGCCAAAAGTAGGTTATTCGACCTAGTTACCACTTTTCCTTCCTTAATCGTCTGTGCTTTCTATGAATTATGTGTTTTTGGTAGTGATGTGTACCATACAGCCCTACGAGGCTCTTTTGGGACAACCACCCTAAGAAACAAGATCCGAGGGAGCTAACAGTTAGTGGTTGTATGTTCCATGACTCGGCCCGGATTTTTTGATTACCTGATTGTGACTTTTTTGTTTCAGTAATATACATCCTTTAGATTCCAGCCCAGACTTGCCGTGCTTTCTGGGCGGGTTCTTGATGTCAGCTTGAACTTCAGCTATTAGTCTAGTGTAGGAAAGCGCTCAACAGGATTAAGTTAATCGATAGTGTATGCATGCATGCATAGGAGGCAGTGCTGACCGAAGCTCAAAAGACTTGTGCTACAGTATACTGAAATGCCTTGAAGCTAGCTATCTATACCGTGAGGTTCACGATCTCTTTTTTGTATATATAGGACTGGCATTGAGCCTCTCAACTGACTTTTTTAATCATCATCCCACAGCCAGAAACAGCAGTCTACAAAAGCATCTTCGCTTCTCAATTACCAATTTAATCCGCTTCTTCACTTTCATAATTAGAATCTTTAATTCTTTTCACTTTAAAAAACAATTTGAACCTTCAAAATGTTCGCTGCTAAGACTATCACCATCTTCGCCGCAGCTTTAGCTACCCTCTACTCTGCAGTCTCCGCAGCTCCAACCCCAACAAAGAACGAAGTCGCCGCCCGCCAGATTGCTCCTGCCGGCGCCACTCATTCCGTCGTTGTCGGCCGCGGTGGTCTCCGCTTCGACCCAGACAACATCGTCGCCGAACCCGGTGACATCGTTGAATTCCACTTCCTCCCACGCAACCACTCCGTTGCTCAATCTAACTTCGCCAATCCATGCCAGCCAATCGGTTCCACCGCTTTCTTCTCTGGCTTCGTCCCCATTGCTTATGGACAAGCTCCTGATGTCTTCCAGATCACCGTTGAAGATAGAAATCCAATTTGGTTCTACTGCTCGCAGACTACGGGAAATCACTGCCAGAGCGGTATGAGCGGTGTTATCAATCAGAACTTTGATTCTAATGAGTTCACCCTTGCTAGGTATAGGGCTAGAGCTGCTGAGATTGGTGGTGTTTCTACTTCTCCTGCGGCTGTTGGTGGTAACCTCGCCGCTCGCGTTCTTCCTAACCCTAACCCACTCAGCGGATTCTAAGTTACTTTTGCTGAGTGGTTAGACTAGTAGGTTATCGGGGGGTTGCAAGTGGAGTATGGTGGGATGAAGAAAGTTTGGAAAGAATATGGACTCAAATATGCATAGCATCGGGCGTTTTTTTGTTTATTATTTCATCTTTTATGATATGGGGCGCTTAGTTTAGACATTCTTTTATTGTATTTACCGGAATGACAGATGATTTGGACCCTCCTTATGTTGTTTTATGTTATAGCACCAAAATATGAAAATGACTTTCTGGCTTTCCATTTTGAACCTTCCACCCAAGACCTATCGATTACAAAATATTGATCACTCTAGGCAATTGACAGTTCTTACTTGAACAATGTTAACTACATTTCCAGAACAAAGATCATAATCTTATAACTCACCTCAGCCATGGCACAGTATTATTCCTGTGAACTAGAAGGTTCAGAATTAAACCTCTGAAACTGCGGCAACGGCGCATCAGGACCAATAACCTCTTCCTCTTCCTCTGCCATATTCCCAGGGTTATCCCCAGGCTCAGTAGAAGGACTCGGCGGCCGCCCCAAAAGCTCCGGCGGTATAAACCCGCCAAAATTAAAACCCGGAGGCTGCAAAACCCCCCAATTCCCCTCAACAACAGGTTGCGGTATAGGCAGCGGAGGCTCTAAATCCGGAATATTCCAACCGGCTTCATATTCATCATCCGCCTCCACTACTAAATCATCCCAAGCATCTATCTCAGGCTGTAGATTTCTATTAACCCTTCTAGCACCCGGTTGGTTTCTCATAATCCTAGATCTAGCACCTGCCCAATTTTCAAACCCTTCGGCATCGCTGTCGATTAAGAATCCCAAATCGTCTCGTCGGAGTGGTCGTCTTCGTCGTTGTCGTTGTCGTCGTCGTTGGTTAGCCCAATTGGGATCTCGTACCATGGTGATCTGTCTTGCACGGTTGTTTGCGTTTTCATTTTGAAGGCGTAGTTGTTCCATTCTTCTATTATGTCGGTTTTGAGCTACTCGTTCGCGTTCACGCTGAGCGGCTACCCTTTCCCCGCCGTTCTGGATGGCATCTTCAAGATCCTCCTCAATTCCTAAAAATGGATTCGGTTGTAAATTTGCAGCCGGTTGATCTGGTAATGCTAGCACTGGTGGCGGACCGAAGGAATTGATCAGTTGCTGTTGAGTGTGGCTGTTAATTATCGGTCTCATATAACTATCCTGAAAGAACATCGGAGTCCCATCTCTTCTCAAAAAGTCCACGAATAAGTCTCTTTCCCTCTGTGTCAATTGTTCAGCCGTGGCTCCAGCGGCAATTCCATGTCGTTCTTTGAACCTCAAAAACGCAATTCTCATGTACTCCTGCCATCTGGCTCTAAGCTCCTGTTCCGGGTCGATATACCACCCGTTTGAGACTAAATCTCCATAAGACCGATGTCTTTGACTCTCAGGAATTGCTGTATAATTCCCAGCAACGATCGCATCATTTCGGCCTTGCATTAATCTACCGTTAAAGGTTACGGGCGCCATCATCGCCATTCTCTGCTGGTCTCGTTGTAGGTCCGCTAGTTGTAATATTCTCCGGGTGTGGTACATTTCTTGTCTAGCCACCTCATCAGGCTCGGTATAATTCTGAAACGCCGCTTCTTCTTCCGGAAACTCGAAATCGACTCCAGCATATCCATCATGATCCTCCATCGATGGATTATATCCCATATTCTCTTCGTCATTAGCTCTTTGTCGTGGCGCCCGTAACCCACGTGGTGGACTAAAGCCGACTGAATCTTCTTCTTCCTCTTCCTCCACAGCGGGGTTATAAGGCTGCCTCGGGGGTAACCTTCGTAACGCAAGAGTATCCGAATCCGAACTCTCCTCATCATCATCATCATTAAAAATATCCCCCACCCGCGCTACATTACCCTCCCCTTCCCCCAAACTCTCAGAATCTGGATCCTCAGAAGTAATCCAATCCTGACCAGCCCTAATAACAGGCTGCCAATCATACCCCACATCTCTAACCATAACATCAGTCCTCCTCCACCCTTCCCCCGTAGCCCAAATAACCGTCCCAATCCTTCCAATATCTCCATTCTCATACCCAACATTCTCATCCCACGTTCTCCACGGATAATTCCCTTCGTCTACAACCTTAAAATGCGTGACCTCCCCCAGGGGGCTGAAAAAAAACTCCTCGGAGTCAGGCATACCGTAATACCTCGCCACCATGACTAATTGTGAATCCAAACAGTGCTGGGGTCCCGGAGCTGTTGGGTTTGGATCGAAATAAAATGCAATGGCGGGTGGGGGGCGGGTGTTATAACCTGTATCTAGTCCCTCAGGTGTGGAACGCATGGCGATCGACATTACGATTCTGGGGTCGCTGGTTATTGGTGGGATACGGTTACAGGATTGGTCGTCGTATGCTCGGTATTGGGGAGCTCGTCCTTCGCCGTAGAGGTAGTTGTCGAAGGCCATTTCGAAGCTACCGAGTACGAAACTTGGGAGGGTTGAGAGGAGGAGGCATAGTGCTGCCGTTGAGATGATTGCGGGTTTCATCTTGACGGCTGAATTTCGATATACAGAGATATGTCAGTATTTGTTATCTATTATTGTAAAGAAATCCTAGTAGAAATGCCTGGGTCTAAGCCTCGAGAACACGAGGAAGTTGTTTTCCATTCCGTTGAATTAATTCAATATGCATGTGCCACATGGCTGGGTTTGCGGTAGTTTACCATCCATGGGGAAGCTTCGAAGATGCATTCGACGAAACTGGCTCTTCTTCTCGCATAAAACACATGACAGGACTACTTGATTAGTTATAATTTCAACCTCATAACCGCTTAGAAGTGAACCTTTAACATCAACATAAAAAGCGTTCCCTACAGCTACACTACAGCTATTCTAACATCAAACTTCTAAGCTGAAGTTTTGAAATATATTTCCAACACAGCCCATTGTGGCATTTTATGATCTTAGTTAATCTCAACCTCAATGACAGGAGTCCAATATCAACCATTCATTCTAGCCTCCTCGAAAACTAATTATAATAGTATGGACAAGTCCCAGTACCGTATATACAATGGAGTAAGAAACCCTCCATAACCAGTATCCAAAACGTGGTAAGTACTTCAGAACAAAAGCGCCCGCTAACCCACCATACAAAAACAGAAAAGAAAAGAAAAGAAAAAGAAACTCCAGCCGTCCAGTCTATAATAATACACATGCATAAATGCCATAGACTAGACATCCAATATATGGCCTGCCTACCCCAAAAAGATAGCCCCCCCCCCAACTTTTATATATCCTCTCAGCTGAATCACATTCACTTCTTCCCTTTCTTCTTCTTCTTCCCTCCGTTCCCGCCAGCAGCGTTATTGCTGCCCGGCGCAGGTCCAACTTTGACCTTCCCACTCTTGTCAACATAAGCCTCCAACCCCGCCGCCTCCAACGTTTCACCATTAACAACCTCCCTCGCCTCCAATTCTCTCAAAATCTTTTGATTCTCTGTATTTCCTTCCATTAAATTCTTAATACACAGCGTCGCATGTTGTTGAATATCTGCCCCCGGGAGAAAACCGTTAGCACCACAACCCCAAAACATTCGTGATAATAGCTGGGAAAGAAAAAAGAAAGAAAAAACTTACATGGATTCTCCTCATCAATCCCAAAACACCCCAGTACTGCCACCACACCCCCAGCCTTCCTAACCTCATCTTGCGTAGCCTTACTCCTATAAACCAACAAACTAACCAACTGCACAAGCGTCCGTTTAATCAACGGCCATCTAAACTCCACCGGATCATTACACTCCATCCCAACCCCATCATCATCCTCATCCTCTTCATCCCCAAGCTCACCCTCCACATACCCACCATTCCTCCTCCTCTTATCTTTCTCTTTCTCCTTCTCTTTTTCTTTCCCACCTGTCCGAGGTACATACTCCACAAAACACTTGAGTACCTCTACGATCTCCTCCACGCATTTTGTTTCTCGGAGGTATACCCTCCCCACCCCTTGTTCGGCAAATAACATCAACAGTTCAAGTAATTGTATCAACCCTTCATAATGTAATTCCACATCATATATCGTTATCCCCGCGACACTAGTAATACTTCTTCCATCTTCTGTCGGTATCTCCGTTATCTCCAACACCCTCTCATTCCCTCCCCCTCCTTTATTCTTCCCGGGGTTATTCGGGTTATTAGGCGAAGCAGTAGCAGAATATCCCATCGCTTTCCCGATCTTTGTAACCATATCTCTAACCGCCGGTCCCAGTTGTCCTTTGAATACTTTAACGGCGAGGAAGTTGACAATCTCCGGTGTGGCTTCGGAATGGTCGATATCGACTTCTGTTGCTGCATCGTCATTTTCCGGACCCGTGTTACCACCATTATGACCGGTAGTTTCTTCAGTAGCTGTATGAATATCGTCAATCCTTGGTGGCCCAAGATCTGATCTTAAAGCAGCTGTAAACTCAGCTGTGAATTCGTCCATCTCACTTTCATCCTCCACTACATTTGGCACCTGCTCTTCATCCCCTATTTCAGGTGGAGGTGGAGGAGGAGGACTAGCCCAATCCTTCCCAGCGGACTCCTCGAGTTTTCCGTCGTAATTTATAAACACACCTGGGTCGGAGATAGTCGGTAAAGCAGCCGGGGCGTATATAGTGTGCAATAACCTCAATATGACCGCTTGTGGTGGTGTAATGGCGTGTATACCCTCGAATTGGTAATTTCGACAGTCGACGTATTCTTTCAGTGTTTCGAACAGGTAGGTTATCAGACCGTTGTGGAGGATTGTCTCCATTATTTCCAAGCTATACAGCGTATTAGTGGTTTTTCTATTCGATGGGAATACGGGGAATACCAACATCAGTTCGAAGTATATATGATCATCAATCTCGTGCCATGCATCCACAAACATCAGTAGTCCAGCCATAAGCCCTATCCCTGCCTCGGCCGCCAACATCATCTTACACCTCATCAACTGTCTTGCGGGGTCTGTCCCATCAATATCCGTAATACTACCGTGAATAATGAGTAACAGCGGCAACATCTCCTTGGCGTTTAAAATAGTTGGTAACATTGTAACAAAACTTAGTTTTGCTGCTTGCCCTCCGCTTCCACTACTAGTTGATCCATTGGGGTTTGGTGAGGGAGGCGGAGACCTTAGTGCTTCTTGGAGATGTAGCTCTTTGATTGGATCGGATGAAGATTTCGAGGATGAGGATGAGGATGGTGCGGCGTCCTTTTGGTATTGTTTTACGGCTTTTCGTTTAGCGGCTTCGAGGAGACGGGTGGAGCCTGGGACGAATAAGTGCATCCACAGCGACATCTTGCGTTTTTCGTTCCCGGAGATGAGGTTATTCAGAAACTGCAGACACGTAATAAGTACCTTGTGATCTATCCCCTCGCACTTCATTAGCATCTCCACCTTCATGAATAACCAACAAGAAACAATAAAACGAAGGAGGGAAAACTTACAACTCTCCTTCTCCGCATGCTTCACACAAATTTCACATAACCGTCTAACCTCCTCCTCAAATTTACTTTCCGCCGCCAAATCCTGTCCCCTCTCCTTCGTCGCCAATAGGTTCCTCCCAAGAATAACCAACTCCCACACCTTCGGCAGCAGATACATCTTATCCCTCCTATCCTTACACGTACACGTCTGCTCCCCGACCCCATTAACCCTCTTCCCCGCCACAGCTCCTCCTACATTCCCACCTGCACTATTCCCAGTCATACCACCCCCAACACCACCACCACCACCAGGTATACCACTTCCATTATTCCCAACTACCGCCCCAGTACCATCAAAATGGTGTTCGCAACCACCCAATTCATCATTCCCACTCCGTAGCGTCTCGGTCATAGCAGTCCATACCCGTGCATTAAAGGCTAGTACCTCTCTTGCTTCCGAACTGGTCTGTGTGCGTTTGACTATGGCGCGGAGTTCATCGTCGCCGAGTTTTTCTTTGTCTGGGGATAAAACGCCGGGATGGGTGAATGAGGCTTGGATGCTGAACAAGACGGCTAGGAGCAGTTCGGGGAGGTATTGGAGTTGTGTCATTTTTTCTTTATTTTAGTTGGAAGGAAAAAAGGCGGTCGTGTGTGTGTGTGTGTGTGTGAGATTATTGTGGATGTGGGGTTTGAGGGGAGCTTGGATAGCTCCGAGTTTTTTTTTCTCGGACCAAGTGAAGCGGCAGAAAAGTTGAATGAATGTTGGTATCGAAGAAAAAGTCGATTCTGGAAGAGACGGAACCGGCGATTAACCGCGCGATGGAAGCTGGAATTAACCAGTACCAGAGATGTTGATGGCAGGTTGATTGTCGGAGTGGGAGATGATGAAGAAGAATGATGATCGAGTGGAACGCTTAAAGCAGGCTAATTTTTTTGTGCGTTTCCCGCCAGCCTTACCGTTGCTTACATAATATAGCCAAAGTCTCGGCTTTCACATTAACATTTGTATTCCTCGGACTCACAGATGGCCAGAAGGTAACTAGAAGAGTTATTGATGATTGAAAAGGTGAACGCTTTTATACGGCCAGATTACAATAACAAAACTAGAAGCGCCGGATAGCAAAGTACTTAGGTATAATACATGATCTGATAATACATTCGCCCCATCGAGATATCATAGATTATATCTCTAGAACAAAAGCCAAAAACCAAGCCTTTCTCGCTCCAAAGAACACCAAAAGCTCTAACCCGAAAAATAGCATCCCTCGCTCCAAGCTATCATAATAAATCTTCTCTTATCCTACTCAAGATCTTAAATTATAAGATTCAGGAGTATGTACGGGGAGTACAGCAGTAGTAAAGGGGAACTACTACTCCCCTTCCACCCCAAGAAAAGCCTTCAATGGCCCTGCAAGACTTGTGGTGGAACCCTATTTCCTCCCCAATAAGCTCGAGGACTCATCTAGCTCTTCTTGATCTTCTCCATTAGGCCTCCCACCGCTACCACTCGCCTCAGCCACAATCGCAATTTCACTTATATCTTCCGGATCACTGGTCTCCACGATAACTTTTCTGATCCCTCCAACATCCTTCGGCCTTTCTTTCAAACTTCCGGTTCTGACCTTCTTAAAACTTTGCGCGGGGGATGGCGTTCTAGGCGTGCTCTTCGGCTCAGGGACTTTCATGGCTCCTGGCGCGGCGTTTTCGGGTGCGCTATTAGATATGTTGTGTGCTGCGGTGCTAGGAGTGTATTCGACCCGGGGTGTGGACTGAGATCCATTAACCCCGTCTTCGAACGTAATTGTTCTCCTCAACTCCTTTGAGGATCGTACTTCCTCCCCACCGGGTCCAACGGCAGCGCTTCCATCCGGCTGTACAGTCTTGATCTTAATCGTCTTCGACCCAGTACTCCTTGGTGCGGAGGCAGGATTACTTGGCCCCAAATGCTTCAAGCTCTCCTTCAGGCTATCGGGGATAACTGAATTCCCCCCGGTACCACCACTCAACTTCCTCATAACCGCTTGGGAAATCGAAGCTTTGCTCCCCCTCCTTGGCGAAGTTTCGCTATCTAATACCCCGGTCGAAGCCCTTCGTTCGCCGCCAGTAATTTCGGGTCGGTTAATGGTAGAGTACCCTTCAAAAGATCCAGCTAGTAGTTTGTCACCTTCCCCGGCCACCGCCATCTTTTGGTTGTCAACCGCACCAAGGATCTCGACGACTTGGTTGGTTTTTCCTTTTACAGTGCCCTCGCTTGGGAAATTCGTACCGTAGTTACGCCGGCTGATAGGCGCGGGGTTCATACGACGAATGGCCTTGTGTACGTCAACGTATACGTCCGATTCATCGACAATTTCTTCACCGATGAGTTCTTCGATAACATCTTCGAGGGTAATAACGCCGAGGGCACCGTAGTTTTCGCCGGGAGATTCGGAAACCAAGACCATATGGCTCTGCAGAAACACCTCTATTAGTTATCGATCTAATAAATATGTAAATAGAATGAAATAAGCATACCTTTCCCTCTTGGAAGAAATTGACAATATCCAAACAACTAGTCTCAGGTGCAGTCTCTGGCAAAGTAGCAAGCGGGAAATCTGCGACCTTCATCGCATCCTCGGGGTCATAAGTGATCAAGATCTTGACCAGCAACATTCCCACGAAGTTCGTTGGTTCCCCAGGTGCATGAATGGGTATACGACTGTATCCCTTGCTAAGAATCTTATCCATAGTCTTTTCGTCCAAAATCGTATCCGCAGACATAGTGAAAACATCCTCCATCGGGGTCATTACACTTCCCACAGGCTTTTCTTTGAGATCGAGGACGGCGGTGATGATGGTGACTTCATCTTGATTCAGACGTTCGGCAGGATGTTCACCAAGAGTCTTGTGGAGTGTAACGAGGGTTTTCAGACCGGCCTTTTTGTAGGTTGTACCGTGGTCCTCGCCGAGGATCCAGTCGAGCAGGAGGGCGGTGGGATATGCGACCGGGTACATGAGGTACATCAATGTTAGAACGAACGGAGCAAGGTAGGCACCTATCGAAAGACCATATCGAACACAAACGGATTGCGGGATGATTTCGCCAAAGATAACTATCGGTCCCAAACATCAGTATTTCCGACTCCTAAATAGAGAAAAAAGACAACGAAAAGCAGTGGAATGTAACACACCGATTAAAACAGTACTACTGAGGACAGCCGGCCACCCACCACCTAAACTGCGGTCGAGCAGAATCGGCAGGGTTTCGTTCGTAATGACATTGCAGAGCAAGAGCGTAACGAGAACCCAATGTTTCCCACGAGTGAGGAGCTTCAGGACAGCCCGTGCATGTTTCTGTTCCTTATCCTCGCCAGATTGAGCGATAACCTGCAAGTAAATCTCATCTTGTCCCATCAACCTAATATTCCATTCCAGAAAACAATTAGCATTCGGTCAACTCCCAGCCACCCCAAAAAAACGCCGTTCACATCACACAAAGGCTGAAAACAAAGAGAAGAGAGAGAGAGAGAAAGAACATACCCTAATGTCAAACCGGCGAAGACACCACCAAGGACGACTAGAAATACCGAAATACCAAGATAGACCCAGAACCGTGGTTCGTCCGGATCGCCTTCTACATCGTTATCATCATGTGAAGAGTGACCGCCCCAAACATTGAGGGAATCATGTTTACTCCGGCCGCTAAGCGGATATGAAGCGAGTGTTGGGATCTGAGCAGAGAGAAGAAGGATTAGGCGAACAATGGAGTTTGCGAGGTTCGAACGACGATAGAGGGACATCGCTTTTTCTCTGAGGTTTGAATATCTCCGGGAATGTCGGAGAGGAAGTAAAAGTAATGGATGAAGGATAGAAGGAAGAAAGAAGAAAAAGGTTCCGAAGGGCGAGAGAGGAGAAGAGAGGAAAAGAGAGCGAGCCAAGGGAAACCCGGTCGGCTGTGGTGGCCGGTGGTGGTTGATGACTACGGTGTGGCTAAGCTAAGCTAAGACCAATCCAATCCAATCCAGAATCTTCCGGCGGGTGTTCTAAAACGTTTTTGCCGGCCCGAAAGAGTAAATAAATTAACAAAATCTAACTAACTGAGAGAGATGATGAAGATGAAAATAAAGATGAAGATGAAGATGAAGATGAAGATGAAATGACGAATGCAGAGGATATAATTTGGTTATGTAGATGACGCCTGGTCGGCAGGAATGTTGACGATTGGCTGGGACGGGGCCCTGGAAAAGCCAAAACAAACGGCGCCGCAGAATCTGACGTCAGGAATTTAGTCGGCCCTTAAGCTTAACCAGTAGTGTTATTGCAGAACGTCAAGGACGAGAGAGAGCATTTTCACGATGTTCTATTATTTTTTTCTGAAGGTCTGAAATTAATCTGGTGAGAATATATATGAGAGTCAGAAAGAAAGGAAAGAAGAAACAAGAAGGCGGGGAGTACATACGTATACGAGTAATAACTAAGTAGACTGAAGATACCCGTGTTCGGCCGGCCAAGATGGAATCCAAGCCGTTAGCATCGAGGCTGATGCATCGCTGCATCTCTACGTAACTGTGTATACCTCGGTACTTATAAGCTTAGCTTGGCTTGATCTAGAATACAACTCTTTCAACACAGTTTTCGATATATTCGATTACAGTTTTTTCAGAGAGATGCATTCGATATTTATCATTTATCAAAGTGCTCAAGTGACCGGCATAGGTATGTTAGTCCAGATGGTCGAGGAAAGCAATCAAAATTAAGTATAAGACATCTTCACGCTATACTAGATAGTTATACTACGGCTGTATAAGTACTGACTTATTTATCTACACGCTTTGCAAGCAATTATCTAGGTAATTGCAATTGGATTGATTTAAAAATGCTGCAAATTTATGTGTGTGAACTTTTGTACTTCTGTACAAGTCGAATCCGATCCATGCCTTCGAGAGATGCTAGCAAATATTAGATCCACTTTAGATCCCATAATTAGTTAACTTGCAATTTCAATCGACGTATATCTTGGTTCATACCTCTAAGAAAGTGTGAGTCCATTGTATGAAAGTATACTTACCAGGTCAGTTTTCGGACTCTCGGTAAATCCAATTGATATCTTATAGGTATTGCTAATATTAATGGGTATGCAGAAATTGACTTAACAGCTCTCTGACCACTAAATATAATTCCCAGCAATACGCATGGAAAGCGGCTACAAAAACAAGCAGATCGATTCAGCGAGAAGTCTAATAGCCTAAGTATATAGGAATAAATTAAGATATTGAGCTATATCTAGTATCGCCCAGCTTGAAAACTGATCTCGTGCCTAACGTATTTGATACCGTAACATCGGAGGAAATTCGACGTCACTAGTACTCCTATCTCGATATAAACTGGAACACGACGATTATTGAATTTACCATCAATTGATATTTAAGTATTTAATTACTCTTCAAACTTCCTTCTGCTTCCTTCTCTATCCATCTATCATACATTTCGAATTCGAACAGTATTAACCTCTCAACCCAAGACCAAATGCAATGAATGCAGTGTATGTCTAGATCAGTCAATCAACCAAAACAAAAAACAAAAAAAGGAAGTCGACGCTGTAATCGCAGACAAAATGATATACCGCCACTTCTTCCTCTCCTCTTCCCATCTTCAGCATCCTACTCATCTCCATGTGGGAAAAAAATCGAAAAAACACCCGCTGGTCCAAAACAATGAAAAAATATGAAAAAGAAAACGTGTAGAAACGTTGAACGCCAAAGGTAGAATCAAGAAAGGGGGGAAGGATAAAATATGTACAATACAGAAAAGAAACAAAAAAGAAAGAGAGGATCTTGATGTAAGAAAACGCCTGTCACATGCAAATATCGCAATGCATGATGCAAGATACCTCATATAAAACTTTCACTCCAACCAAAAAAAATGAATAATCCTCCCCTTTTTGTTTTACTTCAAAAAAAAAAGGGTTTCTCATTCATATTACTCTCGCCCCGAACCTCTCCTTCAACAATCCTTGATCTTCCCCATCTTCCAAATCCACATCCTTCAACTCCTCTTTCTCACTTTTCTCCTTCTCATCTTCCACCAAATCTTCGAGTTCCAAGTCATCGAAACTACCCCTCAACCGTTCACCTTCAACTTCGAACTCCTTGTTAAACGGTGTGATACCTAGATCAATTGCTTCTTCACTCGCAAATGTTCCGTACACATCGACTTCATCTTGTTCTCCCAATCCCTTCGGTGGGAAACACCTCATAATGCCCCAGTACACCACCAAACTCTGTACGAATCCAAAGATACAGAATCCTCTGTAGTATAGTACCGCGACTGTAACTTCCGTTCGATCCTTGATTTGAAGATTATCGATCATTCCAGGAATAGCTGGAGCCACACAAGCAAGCCAGACGAATAACGCCCGCCAGTTTACTCCATAAGTGAAATAATAGCTTCCAGATGTATCCCTCGTATACAGATGCGTAAGCTGTATCCTCTGACGTCTAACCAAAAAGAAATCGCTAATCATAATCCCCGTCAATGGCATCAAAAATACCGAAAAGTCGGAGAGAATGTCCAGGTACATCGACGACAGGTAATAAAACTGCCACGGTTGGAATGCCCATGATAGCATCGCGGCGATGATACATCCTCGCTTGATGTTGACGTATTTGGGGAATAGACCTGCCAATCCCATGCCTGCTGCGTACGCGTTTCCGAGAACGTTTTGGGCTAGTTGGGAGGTGATTAGACCTGCTGCGCAGAAGAAGCAGGCCGCTCGGGTTAGGAAGGTGTAGTCTCTTGCTAACCTATCCATCAATAGATCGACGGGGTTCCAGATCGGTTGGCCGGATGCGTCGGTATTCATTGAAGCTGTAACGATACCGAGGAGCGGGATGATGGTACCCGGGACGAATAATCCGAAAAGTGTACCAGAGGTCTGAACCCCCTGTCTTCGTGCGAACCGGGTGAAATCGGCATGATTCAAGATACCGGACGAAACGGATCCAAGGATCGAGGTGATTCCGTAAAGCCACGTCCACCACCGATTCGTCTGGGCATGAACTGTATCCCACCCGCCCGAGGGATCTCTAAATTCTCCGGTCTTTACGGTCCAGAGTGTCAGAGAGATCATAACGATGACAGCGAGTACGTTCGAGAGTATAACCGGATGTTTGATCTTTTCGGGTCCGACGAGCATGAAAGGGACTGATAGAAGGTGGAACTAAAAAGGGAAGTAGGTACATATCTGTTAGTCACATTCCACAAATTTAAAACAATCAATCAGCATATCTGTTAGTAATACACATACCAGAATAAACGATATCAAATCCCTAGTCTGCATTAATGCCCCCTCTGGAAGGGTATTGGGCATGTTCAAGAAAGCCGAACTGCAGCTCCCCAAGATAACAGAAATACACAATCCACCCAGCCATGCCTGACTTCCATACCAGATAATGGACATGACCACACTCATGACAATACCGACGAATGAACCGTAGACACCCAGAATAGCCCTTGTAATAACCATCAGCATAAACCGTAGCCAAACAGCAAGAAAATAAATGAAATATTTACCTCTGAGCGACAGTAAACCCGATATGCCACTTCCCACCGATCCAGCCATTACATATTGCCAAATACGCCACTAACCCCTGGCCGACTAGTAATACCGCCACGGTTTCCCATGTTGATAATCCCAGGGACACAAGCACCGATCCAGTGGTCCAGCTCGAGATACACAAACTAAAAAGTGCCACAATAATCAATCTCCCACCCTATATCGCTATTTATCTCTAGAAAAGGTATATTTTCCCCGAAGAATGGAAGAAATGTACGTACTGTGGTACCGACCAAAAGCCCAAGAACTCCGTGCGACCCCAAGTTCGCCGACTGGGAGGTAGAGGGATAATATCGGGGTTTATCCACCAGTTGGTCTTGACGCCAGAACGGTCATCATTTCGAACGATGAGAATGTCGCGGAGGCCCATCGCCTTCCGTCCTTGCGTATTTCCCTTCCTGTGATTTAAGTCGACTTTGAGAAAGAAAGTTGTTTATATTTGTCCTGGCGAGTGTCGGTAAAACCCGGATGGTAATTTATTAAAGGAGTAGTCAACAAGCAGCTGTGTTGTTTTGGAGTGGAGATTCGTCGCACGCGAAAGTATCTGTAAAGGAGAGCGAATACAGACAGAGAAAACGTGGCAGACGATCGATCGGATGGAATCGGATGGATGAACAGATGGAAGCTATACAATCATAACGGACATGAGATTAAACTATATTATTGTAGAAGGTGAAGTCGAAGGATAAAGTCTTTGAACGAGTGACGATAGTGAACAGAACAGACAGAACAGAACAGAATGCAAAGAAGAGAGAAAAGAACAAGAAGGAGCTCAAACCATTATTAATAAGAATAACCTTCTCATGCAAATGCAAATGTTATGTTAAGTTACGCATGTTAAAGTTAAGCTAATGTCGAAAGGTAACATTTCTGGGTCCCCTTCCTTCCTTTCTTCCCTGTCCTGCGCCCCTAATCCATACCATTTCTGAGTGGTAGACCTCCTTTCCCGCCAATTAGCGTCAGCCTTGGTTTTGCTTGAAATTGCACGCCCATTTCCACATCCAGCTCCAAAACCTTGACCCTGCATGGTTTGTAAATGGTTAACCCAATAGCGTTCGGGGCGCAGCTGTTAGAGCCGGGTTTGAAGCGATGCGCGTTCCGTTTGACAGGCTTCTTTAGATCTTTGCAAGCTTTGCTCGCGCGTTCGGTGCTTCCGACGGTGCTCGGAGGTCGGATTTATCGGCTGCCCGAAGGTTTGTAATATAAATCGATCTTATATTTTATTAACAGGACTTATAAGTAAGTACAACTATATCAGGATACTTTAGAGCTTCATGGCTGGGAGGAAATAGTATTAGTAACTAGGTAGTTCGAGTTACTCGACCGGACACTTATCATTAACTAGCACATGCGCACAGCGCAGCTGGTCGAATTGAAGCTCTAGGCCATTCTATACCTGTATCACACCATCGATCTTCACGGCGACGTCTCTGTACAAATCTATTCGTATTATATATTATGATATCAGCTCGATCTTCAGAAAAAATGAACTAACATCGGGCATTCATAATCACGGAACGGAACGGAATGGATTGATTCATATTTTTTTTTCTTCGGTCGGTTAAGTCTGGTACGATAGTTAACCTTATCCGGACTATATAAGCTACGTCATATCGATAGCTTAATAATATCAATTCAAAACATATCAATCTCCTCGGTCATGACTTTTACGACTAAAATAATTTTTTTAAAAAATATTTTTTGATATTACGAGCTGATAGTATACGTTACAGATATATCGTTATGCCGATGGGAGGTCATATTTACATCAGCAATCTCAGTAAATACAAGGAGGACCGATTCCAACAAACTCGATGTCTTCGAAACCGCTGTGCCAACCAACCTTAATGCTATAACACGTATCAGAAACCCATTGACCTCGCTACATGTGACAAATATGAGCATTACATATTCCTTTGTATAAATATGGTGACCATAATACATATTTAGTAACATGTTATCAGAGAAAGTCTGTGTATTGTTTCTAGTGAAATGTCGAATCGAATCTGCTCGCCGGATTCCTAACGTTATGAGGCGCTGCGGGATTATCTATATCCGCTGTTTACCGCTCAAGTAATTCTGCCTTATAAATTTTAATTTTCTACTTACGAATAATACGCCTTGCAATTAAGTTAAATTCTGAGAGTAATTGTGACCGTTGAGAATGAAATTAATGAATTTACAAATGTTTCGTTTTTTGGCGAGCACACATCCGCCAGACCTAATTGGCTCCAGTGCCGTGCTAAAGAAACCATTAACGCCATTTTAGGGAATCGATGGTATATATCAACATATGATTAACATTAGCTGGCTCTATGGAGATATAGTCGAATAAAGACCAGCAGAAGGATAAGGCCCAGTAACCGGTGGTCCAGTAGCTGTATAAGAAATAGTATATATATCAGCCTCTCACTCAACGGGAATATTTCTGTAGCTGAAGTATATGAGTTATAGATGGCGAGTACTAACCCCACTCCAACCAACACCTCCAGCTTCCAATCCTATCGTTCCAGTTCGTGTGATAGTGATTTCTCAAGTCTGGGTTTCCGGGGTACCATATTACCGGTTCACCATTGGCGTTGGAACAGTCTCGGCGTCTATATTCAATAATGATTAGATATGGTTTCGTCTGCGGTCAGAACTACCTAGTTATACGCTATTTTGAAAGGTTAACTTACGCATAGAAGATACACTTCGTTCCATAATCTGGCCCGAAGGAGGAGATGGTGTATAGCCATGGTGCATCCAATTGGATACAAGTATTGAAGGGTTGGACTTTATATCCCTTTTCTCCGCCCCAGTTGATAGCCGTGGTGATATAGATCTTTTGAATCACACCATTTATATAAGTGAGCAATTTAACCGACGTAAGAATGCTATAGCAGGGCAGGGACATACACCACCAGGAGTCCTGGCTACCAGCTTTGGCGCCGGTGCAATGCTCCCATCCTTCTGTTTACGAGCGAGGGGCGTGTTCCGGTAGATATCACTTTGTTTGAAGTCCTTGTTTGGGAGTTCGCTAAATGAGACAGTGTCGAAAGGTAGTTTCTCGAGCTCTTTGAGAGATTTGAGAGGCTCATGAACTTCGGGGTCTTCGATCAATTCAGGCTTTGGGGTTACTGCGGGACCTGGGAGGGCGAGAACCGAAGTCGAAGCAGCAAGAGCGAAAATTAAAGAAGAGATATGCATTTTGTATATATAACAGCTCTGAGAGTATATAAGTATATGTCCTTTAAAATATTAGAAACGATAGGTATGTATCTTGCTAGTATTGTATATGCAGAATTGAAGTGTCCTGCCAGATCAAATTAATCGAGAGTTGAGCAACCGGAGTCATCTTTATACCTCACTTCCAATACATTAACACTGATTATCACGACATATCGATTGCAAAGAACCGATTTATCGGAAAGTGCAGTGGGCGAAAGGGACTGCAATTTGCTAATCCCAAGTTAGACCTTTGAATACCATGGGACTCCACCTCGCTTGCATGCTGACATCGAACTTAAACATCTCAATTAATTAGTTCTCGCCTATCGCGAACACGAGTTTCACGAGAACCATGGTACGATTGCGTCGGACGAGTTAACTTGATCATAAGATGCGTGTTTGTGGCCAAATATGATTGGAAAACGGTATACCCGAAGCGCATGTTTGTGTTCTTTTTGATGATGTCAACCTTGTAGGCTTATTACGAGTTAATTATTTAATTCTGGCCGTTGACATACCTATTATCTAATTATCCGCTCGCATCACAGCCAAGACGAAAATACTTACAACCTATCGTAACATAATTCGCAGTCTCTTCTACATTGGTTCCAATCATCGATACAGCCGGACTATGACTAATATTATATTATTACCCTCTGCTAGCTGCTGACAGCGAAAACTTCACAAAAACCGCATTAACGCGTTGTCCGTTGTTGGTTATTTTAGCTTTGTTCTTGGCGAACCGGCATTCCATTCTGGGCAGGGAACCATTCTGGGCTGGGATGAGCATCTCTAATTAGCCAATTTGATTTGAAGGTTTTGAACTCCTTTTTCACACAAGTCATCCTGTCAAACCCACGTTTTCGATCTCTCTGAGAGATCTTCAAGCGTTATGCTTCGATAGGGAGTCGAGCTCTTGCATTGCATTGTTCATGTACATTCGAATTCGAGACATCAGACGGAATACGACGAATCAGCACTGGAGAACGTTGGAGGACTTGTTCTATTTTTTTTTCTGTTATTTTTAATTTTTTAATTCGACAAGCTCGACGCTTTCTTCGCTACAGGCAGCTGCTGTCGACATCTGGGGAAAATCCGGACGGAGACTAGTGAGATCGATACGGAGAGAAAGAAGCAAGGGATCCCGATTGATCTATATCAACATGCAGCTTATACCCAGCTATATTGTCGACCGTTTGCCGTTGCCGGTTTCTCAAAGCTCGTGCACGATGCCTCACCGAATTGTTCCGCTTCCAAACGGACATCCGTCAAAGAAAAAATTGAAATACCAACCGGTCAAAATAAAAAAACCCACTGCCAGTGAAAATCCGGCAGAAGAATCTGGTATTATTACACCTGCAGGTAAAGATGCAGCTGTGTTTGGGATAATTTCCGACGACGGCGGCTGCGATTCCAAACAATTTCATTTGGACATTTCCAACACCGCATTGACGTTGGCAACACACTCTTTGGATGGGCTGCAGTTACGGCATGTTAAGGATATGTACTTCCACCCGGAGATATCGCGGAAAAGCACGGATCAGGCTCTGGAAAAGTCTCTTTCTACATGTCGGAAGAATCAGAATGCTCTAAAAGGCGTTCTCTCGTTTTTGGATTCTTCGTCTACTTGTTCGACTATTGACCAATCCTCAATATTCGAACGCTTCCTCTTTGGCTCGACTCCTCACGTCAATTCCTTTGCCTCGACTACATTTTCTTTCCCGGATATCAAGGATACACAGTATTTACATATCCGTGGCTCTCCTCCTCCCTCTCCTCTTTCGTCTTATAAGTCTCTATCAATAATCACTTCAATCTGTCTCTTCTCTGCGGATGCAGTCTCGTCATTCTCTTCGCAACTTCTAGAATTATATACCCGCTATCCCTATTCTGATTCTCTCCATCTCCATCATCCTCTCACATTTAACGAACTAGATTCTCTTTCTCGTCTTTCGAACACAATTGCAGATATAATCTGCTCTATCTCTTCCCCATCCCGTTTTTCATCCCCCTTGAACATAAACATAATTCTCGACATTCCACAAATTCAATACTACCTCTCCGGCCCCACATCTCACTTTCATATTCCCACGATTTCCAAAACATGGCTTTCTCTTATCGACTCTCGAAAGGCATCTATTGAAAGAATCTTCAAAAGATGCATAGCCCAAGAAATTCACCGACGGATTCCCCATGAAAGACTAAAACTCTCGGGAGTATCGTATGAGATTATGAATACTTCATCTTTAAACCCGCTTTTGCCTTTGCTCAGCTCACAAATCATTGATTTTCCTTACATTTCAATTCAACAATGCATCAAAACCCTAACAACTACCAACAAATCTTGGGACCTGTTTTTGGATAGCCTTCCACTGCCAGGTCTACAACCCCCGGATACACTGGAAGAATTAGTCTATATCTCATATGTCTACGAAATCCTTCTTCCATTCCTCAAAGCCCTGGATACAGAGGGTACAATCGAGGATATGGAAAACACGTTGATTCTACAAATTGATAATATTGTGGAATCAAAACCATATCTCAAAGCTAAAAAGTTTTTGGAAGTTTATAATAAAAAGCTTGGGGCTAAGAAGGCGAGTTTGATTGGGATATACCCTTCCGAACGAGTATTTTATAGCAAGGAAGGGAACTATAGAAGTTCTTTGCATAAGTATGATCCTGGACAAGATCTTTCATTGGATTCAGGCAAAGTGAAACCTTACGAGGTTTTGGAGAAGATTTATGGAGTTGAGAGTATGGCTGCCGTTAAAGAGGCGGCTACGGAGGAGGGGTTGGTATAAATAATAAAACAAACAACTTGATGTTGTCTGGAAAAGTCTGGTTGGGAGTTTTTCTTTCGTACAATTAGCGAGCATTTGTGTACTTTGTCGCCATTGGAGTAAACCCTTTTTGAGGAGTGTTTTTTCTTTCATTTCTTTTAAACAGTCCGGAGTCGGTAACTTTATTGTAATATAACTAGATTCATATAAGATTCTATAAAGTAGTTTGTATCTTTTCTACAAATATTTAATTCTCTTGCCATAGGCATTTACTCAACATCGTCCGCTCTTTGATACTTCGAGCTTTAATTAAGCAGACAAGGCTGTTTTAACACCCTCAGCACCTTGTAATGCGTACCCAACCGCTGTTAGGGTTGGTTGACATGCCATACCCTCTGCGATTACGCCACAACCACCGAGGTATAAATTATCAACTCCCCAAACCTTGGAGTTGGAATCGACAACTGAGGTTTCGACAGACTCCCCGGCACGGGTTGTCCCGCTGAGATGCAGTGCTGTTCCCAGTGGCATGATTGTTGGCTCTGTGACGAAGCTGCCGAGGGTTGTGGCCAAAGATTGCACTCTAGGGTTATCCCGTTAGTATAAGTACTTTCTCATGTTTGTTATAAGGGGAGGTGGTGGAACGTACTCTACCATCATCTTTGCTGCTAACTTCATGTCATAGATGCTTGGGGAGACTTTGAATGACGGCTAATTCACACCACAAAGATTAGCTTATTGACGTTTATTCCTTGTTTTTTTGAAAAATGAACTGAATACTAACGGTTGGCATTCCATCGCTACCCTTTTCTCCAAACTCGACTCGATTCTCCACGTTAGGCTCGACAACGCTCATACACCTAACATCCAGCACATCACCCGAATCTACATCTTCAGGTAACTGCCCATACTGATGAGCCTCACGGTTAATCATAGTAACCCACTTCTTCCCCTCGCTAGCACCCTGCATAATATTAACCTCCCCATCATTAACAGAAAACTTCTTATCAAGTTTGATTTGACAGAACGCAACCATTCTTTCGGTTAGATATCTTCCCAATGCGGGTAGTTCTTGGCTCATGTTGGAATTGTAGATTATTTGCGGGGTTAGAACTGCGCCTGCTGCTAGGATGTATTGTTCTGCTATAACCGAGATTTTGGAGTTTGTTGAGAGGGAGGTTAGGGATGCTGAGGTTACTTTGGAGTTTTGGTTGTGGAGGTTTGTGCAGAGGTGGTGGGGGAGGAGGGTGAAGTTTTTGGATGAGAGAATGGGGGAGAGGATGCTTGCTGTGGAGGAGTAGATGACTTTTCCGTTCTCGTCTTTTTGACAGGCGAGAGGGGTGGATTTGAAGGAGTGGCCTGAGGCGTTAAGGAAGTTTTTGAGGTTGTCTTGACGGGTTGAAGCGTCCAAGACGGTGGAGTTTGTGTGAAGAAGATCTTGGGCTTCGGAGATGAGGGAGTTCCATTTTGATTCTGAAAATAGCTTTGGAGCTTCGAGATTTGGATGTGGAGATGCAGTTACGCAGGTCCAGTGGGTTGACATGCCGCCGATTGCGAGGGTTGCGGCTGCACTAGGCATGGAGGAGGAGAGTGGGGTTAGATCGTTTTGGATGACGTTGCTGAAGTCGTTTAGGGTCATGTCTGTGATATTTTTCTTGTGTTCTCCGGGGATTTCGGTTTCCCTATTTATTACAGCAATTGATATATTAGCATTGAGGTATAACTGAAATGGGTTTTTTAGGGGGTCTGGAGGGCTTGCTCACTGTGCACCGGCATCGACCATGAGGACTTTGTGTCCGGCCTCGACGAGTTTACGGGCGTAGATGGCACCAATTGGGCCGGATCCTACGACTAGGACATCGGTGCGGATTGTGGTGGATTCTGGCTGGTAGTCGATGCCCATTTTGAAGAATGAATTTTAAAGCTTTATCGAATTCAACGATTAGAATATAGTGAATAGAATTCAGTTTAACCACTAGATAGATTGAGGGGTGTGGAGTAAATGTATTCAAGGCCAAATAGGATCACTGAAAGATAGATTCGAAAACAAGAAGAGAATCATATCGACCGTCCCTAATTTATAGATATATTTTAAACTGATCCAATACGTGTCAATAACAAGAAAACTCCGTAATCCGTCCCCAATCCAAGAGTACTATAGAGTAACCAAGCTCGTTGATGTCGTAATCTCAGCTTTGGACCCTTTACACGTCACTTTGGATCTTTCAAGTGCGCTAAGCCGATGGGCCGTATGCATAGTTGTGATTCTGAAAGTTCGATATACATGGTCGATCATGCAACTGTGCTAGCTCAACAGAGCTTATCTATAGTTAAGGCGGCTGGAGGGCTGGTGCCGATGCGGATAAGTGTACCGAAGCTCCACTGTCTTCTTTTATATTGGGTAAGGCGCGCAGTATGGAATCTGCCAACTTCGGGACTTTATAGCCGATTAACAGTCAATGATTGACACTGGCACTTCTGGGCGGGTTATCGGAAATGCATGTTTGGAATTGTGGATATTGGATTGCATTTTATGCGGAAAGAGGGGGGAGTCTAGAATCTCGATATCACCCGCGATAGACTCGAAACTATCCCAAATAGTCAATCCCTTTCGGGTTCCCAGCCTCCTAATAATTCTGGTACGTCCTAATTAACCCCTCAGCTGTATAGCTGCAGCTAGCACACGGAGATCTTGAAAAGATACCCTGTTTTTCGATTTGTCTCTGATTTAATATCTACATCTTGATTCGATCGATTGCATGATAATGCAGCTACATATCACCCGAATGCGACCCCGCAGAATTAGCGGGTTGGGCCATATATCAAAATGGAAATGGAATGCAAGATTTCCTAGCGGCCGGCCTACTATCCCATCTTCGGAGAAAACACATAAAATCAAGTTTTTTTTTTTTGTCACAATTCTCCGAATCTTGCATGGAAAGATCTGCGTATGCGGGAGGATTAAGTTCGCGGGGGTCACCCTTGCGTGCGAGGACTTGGACTATGCCGGATTGGTGTGAATTCTGAGAGATGATTGGTTGATTGGCTGGATTTTGTTGCATTTATTAGGGTCAACGCATGAATGGGGCGTTTTGATATAATCGATGACGCCCGAGTGCGAGTGATAACATCAAAGGTCTCGAACAGCGTCGCCGAGAATCAAAAAACGAACAAAAAAGTGTCGGAAAAGTCCAAAAAATGGGGGGCAGTCCGAGGCCAGGGACAGCCCGAGGTATTGGTCTCGAGTCTACCTAATAAGCCTTTGAATTTTGCACTCGCAGGTGATGAGTCTGAGAATAAATTTATAAATTTATAAATCTTGATCACAAATCCACAGATTAGTGCCCCCTTTTTATTTCTACTAAATAATAAGTGATAAGATACAGGACCAAAAATTTAAATACCGAACGTTTTCGTAGATCTATTCAGCCGAAGATATCTAGATCTATAGACATTTAGCGACCTTAATATATAATCGAGTGGCCCGTGGTCCAAATTTGGGTGTCTCCAAGCCAACCAAACAACCCTTCGTATTCAGAATCACATCTCGAACACTTCAGCCCATGGTCAGGGCTTTTAGCGTGTGGACCATTGACTAGAACATTCAGAACAAAAGCATTACTGTGGATTCCAGTTTCCACGGCATTATGTACCATATCATCGAGCCCAGAGTGTTTTCCACAACTAGTGCATGTTGCACGAGCGCGGTTCATGATATTGCCTGAGATGTGGGAGATGGTGGATTCTATTGATGTCGTCACAGTTAACCAATTAGCATAATTATATTCGTTAAGCCCTCGTATTCGTACTTGAAATAGAGGCGTGCCAATATGGGATAAGGGAGATTGGAGTTAGGGTATTTGTCTACCTTCGACATCGAGTAAAGTGGCAATGCTTGTGCGCTCCTCGTCCGTGAGAAGCCAGCGAACGCCGCCGCTAGAGAGAAATTCTTGGTTCGAATTCGTGGACATTGTGACCTCTAGTGGGGCTGAGAATTCTTGCACGAGAGAATGGTTCTGAGGAGTATGGTGTAATAGAGATCTGGTGGGAAATATTACTTTCGTATAAAAAAGTGAATGAGAGGGCGAAAAGCAGCCCTTTTATAGATTTTACTGACCCCTCACTTGGTTAACTTACTTTAGTATTTCTAGTAGGTATTATCTCGCAAGGACCAATGGGTAGTTTTGGTTACGAGATTCGCATATGATACCATTTTCGGAGAATAATTCCATAAGCTGCACCGACCAATGATCGGCCCGTAGCCGCGAGCCGTCGAGTTGGCTCGTAGCATCTTTGTTTCCCAATCAAAAAGGCGGCAACTAATCTAAATTTTATGACCTAGATGCGTCGGATATAATTGTGACGCTAATATACGGTTCGTTTCTATTGGAAGGCTTAAAGCTCGAAGAGGTCTGAAAAGCAGGTTTTCGAATTGTCCCAATTCTCCGAATCTTGCATGACCATTTATGGGAAGATCTGCGGGATTCGCTATGGTCATATGCATGGGCCTATCAATTGATATTGATTGTATTGTTCCAATCTGGCACTCTACCTCTAGTACAGACCCACAATTTGGTACTCGACGTCGAAGGTTTCCTACAACATATAGATAGACTCGCGCTCTAGCATAGGGCGAGGAACGAATCTCAATCCGCAGATTCAATCTCAATGATCCTCTTCATGACCAACAGGAATATAATGCCAGTCATAAACCCCATCGAAATTTTCGCTACAATGGGAGCACTGTAACCCATGAGCAGGACTTCGGGATTGCGGTCCATCAACCAGAACCTTGAGGATAAAAGCTCCATCATGGACTCCGGCCATTATGGCATTATGAACCAAGTCATCCAAGCCGGAGTGCTTCCCACATCCGGAACAGACTGAACGTTCTCTGGTCATAACGTTTCCTCTGACGTGATCGATTATGTGTGCTTGAAAGAGGTCATTAGTTTCCTTGCTTATTTTGGTAAATTAACTGCGGGAAGCGGGCGGGTACCTTCGATTCCGAGAGCACTAGTGATGCTTGCACGCTCTTCGCCCGTAAGGATCCATCTAACACCACCTCCACTGATGAATTCTTGATTTTCGGTGGCCGACATGTTTAAATATTAAAGTTGAAAGAGGATAGATTCGCTCCGAAGATACTTTAATGAATGTCAAATTTGTGTCTGTTGGATGAAGAATTGATGTAAGAATGAGGATAAAAGTTCTGTCTACGGACCTGGGAAATGGCCCTGATTTTATCTTCTGTCGAATAGAGATCTACATCTTTAGAGCTGTCAGATATCTTAGATAAATCCGACCTCCTCATTTCACGGCACGAAAACGGGACTCTCCGCTCTTAGCATTTCTTATCGCAGGGGTGCATAATCAATGTATGTTAGAACCTTGCATTTACCCTGCATAGTATATGACCAATGAAAACTCCATGAATATATGCACTCAAAATCAAGATCGATATATGTTACACCAAGATTCTGTTTCTGCTTGCCGATCATGACTTATCTGCATTGGCTGTGAAAGGTTACCGACACTGCGATACTCTCTGTACGTGCACCGGTTGTAGCAGTAATAATCTCTTTCATGAATTTACCTCATTTGGAGTAAGGAGGACTGTTCGGGTGATGTGCGATCGTCTATTTTCTGCAAGGAGACAACTGCAAGGAGTAGAATTTCAGCCGTGAATTGGGGGTGAGGCAACAGTTCATATGATCATATCCTCACGATGTAAGTTTTCGATACACACTACGTAATCCATGTGAACCTCAATACTACAGAAGAAGCTTTTTTTTTAGCTCCATAGATGGCCTAGACGAACCTCACTATATACCCAGCTCACAATAGGCATATTCAGGCTCAAGAGCCTGATATTGATATCTCGAGGGCGCGGCATATCCTGAGTCCGGACGTTAAAATACTGGTGTATATGTGCTACATTGTTAGAATTTCGACGAAGGATAGATATAGATTCGGCCGGATACAACCGCTATCTTGATATCTCAAATTTTTCTGTATCTGAAAGCTTTCTTGGACTAGATCGTAAGTTTGCTCCGAGCTCAAATCCAGCTTGGATCCAGTCAATATAATAGAAGCTAGGGATTATCGTGAAGAAAATGCAACAGCCTCAACACTTTCTCTCGTAGTTTGGAAGAGCAAGTTTTTAAGTGTAGGGCGCAGGAGAAAAGCCCATTTGAGAAAAAATAAGTAGAATCCGAGGCATGACAAAGAACTCAAGAGCTTATTCGAGCATACTTTGTAGAAACGTGAAGGCAATTGATTCCATGTTCCTACCACGTCTTAAGCCCGTGGCTGTTCATTTGACTTTTCTGTTTATGACATTCACGATAGTAACTTGGGCTATCAGAAAAGGAGTCTGCATTGAACGATTCTATAGATCTATCTGGGTTATTCAAACATAATTGAATACTTATTCGAGATTCCAAGAACTTTCGTCAAAATGCCAACCTTGATCTCTAAGGGAGCGGCTCTCGCGGCTCTGGCCCTCCTAGCTTCTGAGACATCTGCATATACTCTTTCGTTCTACGGCGATGCAGCGTGCTCAGGCGTTTCGAGATGGCAACACTCCACCACAAATGATAGTACTTACATGACACCCTGCGAGCAGATCCCGGCATCCGAAGGAAACGGCGTCATATCGGCTCTTTTAGCTGGCGATGCAACTGACAATCACTGGGGTTACACCGCTCAATTATTCTCAGATCCAGCATGCAACTCTCGAGTGACCACCATCTCATCTAAAGATAGATGTAAATCAACAGGTTCAATCCGAAGTTTTGTTGTTGTGGGAACGGAATCAAATTTCCGGATGCCTGAGGGGTCTTGGGATACTGTTCCTAGGGAAGATGCTGTTTCGTACACTGTTAGTACGGTAGAATCGATGGTTGAGACGATTGGAGGTGATGCGATTTATAATGGGACTGGAGCCAAATATTACGAAGCCGACAATTATGGCAGTACGCGTGGTTCTTCTGGTTCCGACAGTACGCGTGGTTCTTCTGGTTACAGCAGTTCTATTGGCTCTAGTGGTCCTGAACCGGTAATGTACCCTCTCGACGACGCAAGTTTGGAATACGCCACCACCAACGACTATGAAGCCGGTATTCCAGGAACGGTTGACGAGGCAGTTCTTGAAGCAGATTGTGGTGATACCGTTCAGGAAGAGGGATACGTGGTCGACAAGAATGGGGATGGACTTGCTGATGCAACGATCGAGAAGACGACCACCACTGATCCTAATGGAAATATCGTGGGTGTTGAACAGAAGGTCGTTAGTTCTACGGAGAATCTCAAGGGGCCTGGAGCGGTGATGGATGGACCGGCGGTAGGTTATGTGAATGTTCCTGATCAGGTCCGGGATAGCCAAAGGTTAGGGACTTCGACAAGCACTGGATGGCCGGCGGCTGCTGGTTTAAGGGGAGAGGAATTGATATAAGCAATCTTGTCTTTATCATTAACTACTTGCAGTTCTGGTTTAACATCGTGCTTACATGAAGCTAGATAGAGTTAGATTGACAATATATATTAAAATGGTCTCTTCAAGGTCACAAATATTCGATTGAGATTGATTTCTTTCTGTTACCAGCGGACTTCCTTCATCAGTGATTATATTTTAGATGGAAAAGGTAGTAGACCTTCAATGTAGTGAGAGTGTATAGAAGTATGACTGTAGATGTGATGTATTGTATAGAAGACTAGCCTCCATCACAACAACATCCTACCGATTCCACGACATCATCAACGACATCACCATCGACATCATTCACTTCTCGGCATCAGATCCGTCACACGAGAAAAACAAAAAAAAAAACCATCCAACTTACCCTCCCGGCAGTCCTCGCTGCTTTGATCTCTTTCACAATGCCTCGACAAAAAACCGTCTGGTGTGATACTCTCGAAGAGCACATCGTCTACGATACCGCACAAGAAGAAGCAGATCACGAAAAAAATTGTCCGACCTGTCAAGAAACAATGGGAGACTGGCGCCGTTCCGAATATTCCATGGTCCGAGACCATTACGGCTTCGTCAAGCGACCTGAGCCACCCGTTCAATATGAGCCCCCCGTCTGGCACGGGCCAATTCGAGTTAAACGACCCATTCGTACTGTCATTTGGTGGGAGGAAAGAGATGACACTGAACCCTCTGAGGAATTCGAGGAGATAAACCTTCGAGGCGAAACAGTCAAGTCGGGAGAACAACTCCTTCACCGCCTTCTCGGAGAACCTGACCCGGCCGCTTTGGGCATCGTTCGCTATCTCACCGTCGCTGATCTAAACAGTCTCAAATATGTCTGCAAGAGCTTCAACCATGCTCTTACTGGTGATGGAGTTTGGGCCTGGATTCTCACGAAACTTACCTTTGGCAACGAATACGCTGGAGGGTGTGATGCCTTCAACGGTCTTCGCCGTCTTACCAACCGTATTCCATTCTGGGATACTCCCTCGGTTCAAAGAATCATCAATCGCTGGGATATCGTTGATGTCCTTGTTAACGTCAATCTCGATTCTACCGGCGTTGACGCCTCATGCATCGGATTTTTCTTGGAGAAATTCCATTCTATCAAGCGTATCTCTGTCCGATACTGCATCGGCTTCAAATTGGCAGAGTTCCTTACCATCCTTCAAACCTACGCTGACCAGGGCAAGAAGGAAGCTAAGCGTCTCGAGAACATCTTTATTGACTACTGGGGTGTCGCTGAAATCTACTCAGTCGTCGGCACTATGGTTCTTGATCAAGCTCTCATCGACGAAACTGCCTACGTTGCCTCCAAGATCCGTTACATCACCCAACTCATCGAATCAAACGTCTTTCTCTGCTACCGCAATCACTATGAGGAAGGCCTTTGGGGTCGTGAGAAGACCAAGTTCCGACAAGAGAACGGAGAAGAAGCTACGTTCTCAACCTTCTATCCTTCGGAGATCGTCCTCATTCAATGCGCTCTTTGTAATAAGGTCTACGAGCGTAGATGGTGCCTTCGATGCCTTAAAGCCAACATCTGCACTTACTGCAACGACTATCATTGTCTCACTTGCGACCCGGCTTCATACGCGGACTCTATCAGTGGTAAGTCTCTGCTTGACTCGTCATCTGGGTTGGGTACAGGAGGGTTGACAAGAACGAAACTCGTCCCAGAGGGCCATTCCTTCACTCTTGCCCGTCTCCACGAATTCGATCACTGCTGTTCTGACGTTTCCGTCTTCTGGAACCTCAAACACTATTTCCACGATCAATGTGCAATCCAAGCCCGTCGTCTTGAAAGATGCCTTCTGTGCAACAAGTTCATCTGTTGGAACATCCCAGGACTTCACTGTCCTCGCTGCGCAGTCCGCCAATGTCCACATTCTTCGGGTTATTGTATGCGTATGTGTCAATTTTGCAAAAATGACTACGCATACACTACTGAATACAGGTCGGTTCCCGCCAGAGCTGCGCTTATCAACAAGGATTTGGGACATTGATAATCAAGTGGTTTTGGGGGTACAGCGATAGATATACGGAGAGGTGTTGTACTAGTGCTTGGATGGTCTGGATCTATTCTATTGTCATGATGACGATTACGTTAATGGGTGTTCTTTCTATGCATTTTTGAAAAATGGGGCTTCTTTGGGCTTTCACTAATGCTATGAGCGGCTTGGTTCTAGCCCAATTGACAGCACTTTGCGACTAACTACGGGTTTTTTTTACTTCATCATGGCTGTTCACTATCTTTTTTTCTTTTGTTATTTTAGCGACAGTAGATGGGGCTTCATTCGAGAGCAATCAAGCACTGTACTGGGAGGGATTAGCTTCCTTCTTTTATCATATGATGCATGATGACTACTGTTACATTCATGTATTCATAGTACGACGTTTGGTTCTAGGTCTACTGTCGAAGCGGTATTTACAATATAATGGGAAACTTTCATTTTCGATTCTTACGGCCTTGAATACTAGTCTGGTATCCAGAGTGGAAAGTTGCAGTAGAGTAGGTGCCAGCTGGAATAATTAATACTATGGGTATAGCTATATATAGTACTAGCCACACGCTGACGCGCCTCAGTGGCTCAACAAGCCAAGACTGAAGCTTCCCAGCATTTCCCAAACAAGCAATCCGCGACAAAGGCACGTGACCACCACTTCCTTCTCTTCAACCAGGCTGACGACGACCGCGCGCATTCGTCATCCCGCGATAGCTATAAAGGACCTTCCAAAGCTTCAACCTTTTCCTTCAACAGTCTAATCTTGAACCCTTTCCCATAATATCGGCAGCCATTCGTGTATCTAGTGTATTTTCGTCACAATGGCGACATACGAAGGTACGTTAGCTATCAACCCCTCCCCCACATTTCCACCCCACTATACTCCCTTCTAGATGTCGCGATATCAACATTAACATCATAAAAATTCAAACCTCCTACTAACATACAATCCAACCATAGACGACCATAACCTCCCCGCCTCCTCCACCTCCTTAAAACCCGTCCCCCGCCGTCCCCGTCCCGACCTCTCAAACTTCTTCTCCTCCCTCTCCATCAACCCATCCACCGCAACTGGATCCACAGATACCACAGAACCAATAGACCAAGCATCATCAGCATTCACATCCCTAGCTCGTGCATGGCAACAATCGATAGAAGGCAATGAAGTTCTAGAAAGCCTTATTGAGCAGTTAATCGAAGAAGGTCAGGGTGGTACCAGTGTTAAGGGCGTTGATCAGCATTTCTTGGACGGGCTGGAGAGGATTCCGAAGAAGGAACTTGTGGAGGCGGATACTTGTCCGATTTGTAATACGAGTTTTTTACTTGGTGAGTTAAAACCTTTTTTTTTGATTACTGTTTGATTGATAGTTGGGGGAGGGGACTAATGTTTTGGTGTCGTAATAGATCAATACCCTTTAGTCGTTCGTCTACCGTGTCATAAGAGCCATGTATTCGATTTGGAATGTATTAGTCCGTGGTTGAAGCTACATACTACGTAGGTTCCCTTACCCTTAAAAATCAAAGGATACTCTAGCTAAAATTGTTCAACAGATGTCCACTCGACCGTATCGATCTAACGAAGAAAAAGACACCTCCACCCCCTCCAGTAGACGAGGAAGAAGAAGAATGGGATGATAACTACGGTTAACCACCGATTATTCCATATTAAATAAAAAAACAAGAATATTGATACCAGCGTTTTAATAGCATATTAATTTAATGAATGCCCATTAACAGAAGCGACAATGAATGCTTTTGTATCCCATATTATCCCTTATGCATCCGATCTTAACTAACAATTCGAAGACCATTTCGAAACCCAACCCAATGCAAACTTTAATAGGTCTTAAGAAAAAAAGAAAAAAAGAAAGAAACAAGAAAAATTGGCTACCAAATCCTCTTAGCAACCATATCAAACCTCTCAACCTCCCCGAGTGGGGTAGTCTTCCTTACTCCACTCCCGCCTCCAGTAATATCCTTATCTCCACCCGCATTAATAATCTTCCTCTTCTCATCGTTCATCTCAGCCACTCCACCACTGCTCACTCCCAAAACTGCATAGCCCTTCTTTTCTCTCTCCTTCATTCCCTTATATCTTCTTCTAGCGACGGCAAGCAATCCCATTCCCAAGATAAACTTGAATATCAAAAACACCATCCAAATCCCAATGAATATCGTAGCGATGGTAAGATACTCCGTAATGGTGTTGAGAATATCGACGGTATCTTGTCCTGCTCGACCTGAGAAGGCACTTTTAAGGATTGAATCGAACTTATGGAGGGCAGCAGTAGTAGCCGGTGAGGATGCCGCAGCATTAGTATCGTCAGGGAAAGTTGTTCGGGTCATGTCCGGAAACAAAGGAGAAGGAAAGTGTGTTGATATAAACATCTGGTAAGTCTGCAACGACGATCGGATGAATAGACATGCAAGCGGGATAACCGGCAATCCCAATCTTCTCATAAGATTCTCCTCCGCAAAAGCCTGTAATTAAGCACAAGTATTAGTCCCCGTGATACACCTTAAGGGGTGTAGGAAGTACTCACATGTGTATAATAATCCTTCGCCAAAACATCCAAGTACCTTGAGTATATCTGTGGTTTAATATTATTAAACTTCGTGATATACGCATGCTTCAACCAATCCACAAGCATCTCGCTCCCCAATACCAGCAAAAACGGCCCCATAACTTGTCCTGTCCATTTTGGAAAGATCGTAAAGCTCTTCGGTAGGAACATTCCCCCGCTGCTAGACGTAACAGAAGCATTTGGAACCGCAGTATTCATAGCCTGTCCTGTAGTCGAAGGAAGTCCCAATCCAGCCGCGGATACCAAACCAGTAAGCCCGAACCCACCGACACCCAAAAACCCTTCTACTCCAATCTCCACGAGATTCCTGCTGGCGATGATAATCAACATCAGCCATAACTGAAACCTCTCAACGACATCCGCACATGCCATTTGAAACAGATTCTCCTTCTCAATCCTCTTGAAAACCGTTGTTTTGATCTCCACGAACTGGTTCGACAACAATAGCGTTATCAAACTATTCGAGTAACTATTAACCGCCACATTCAACGTAATGACCTGATAAAACAGCGCAGTAGCATGTAAAACGTTATAACCCAACGCCAGCAAGAAGAACCCAAATGGCCTGAGAACTTTACTCGTCCCATCCGGTCTTCTCTCCAACGACTCTCTTGAGAATAAACACTCAAAGATATCTTGCCCAATCGCAGACAGAAGTTTATCACCAACTTCCAAAACACTGTATATGACATACAACTTAATGGCGTTCTGTCCACGGATGCTGTGATACATCCTTGATGCATCAAATTCCATTAGGATCCAACATGAAAAGATGACGACTGCGCCCTTTAGCAAATCAGCTTTGTGATTAGGCTGTAGATCCGACGTCTTACGTCGTTTTGCGAGGGCAGCGAGTCGTCGTCTCTTTGAGTCCTTTTTGGGGTCTGATACCGTTGTAGCGGTCGTAGGTGTAGTAGCAGTGGCACTAGTAGCAGTATTGGTGGATTGCTGGTCTGATTCCGAAGGCTTTCGTTGTTGAGCCTCCAACTGGGCGGTTTCAGGCCGAAGCCATGACTTCGCAAACGAAGCAACAATCTCCCCAATGAGCTTCATCCAATATAGCAATAACAACCACAGGGCCGTCAAAAACCTGATAGGTAAAATTGTAAAGTTCCACAACCACCCATCCAAACAAGCAAAAGAACCAAACCAGAGAGCACCTTCAAGGTACATCGGTAGTGACAAAAAGTTCATCAATTTCTCTATACGAAGTTCGGCAGAAACAAGATCATATTTCGAAGCTGGCGTAGTCGCTAGAGAAAGATAAAGATAGTCGCCAATGGACAGTGGAGCCGTCGTTAGGGCGTCCCTGGGATGCTTGGATTCCGTAGGAGTATGTTGAGCTGTTCCGTTTGCGCTGGAACCGGACTTTTCGGTATGCTTCGATGGTGTTGGGGGGACTAATGGCGTAATACTAGCACCGACATACGAATTCCCGTTTAGAACTACTCGAGGTGTAGATTTCGCGCGTCGTACGTTTCCAGAAACGCTGTAATGTCTCGGAGGCGGGAACTGTGGTCTTTGTGCCATCTTCGGGGCGTCGTCTTTGCTAACACTACTAGCACGACTCCGTCCGCTTTTTGACCCAATACTACCAGACCTAACCTTCTTACTAGACTCATTACCAGAAGTATCCGGAACCGTACTCGACCGTGGAGACACCTCTGCGTCTTCAGGACTTGGAGTAATAGCCACAAACTTCCCATCCATGGCTTTTAACACCTGATCCTCCGGAATAGCGATAACCTGAAGTGGAACCCCAGATGGTATCATAGGCGATAAAACAGGAACCGACCCATCCTCTCGTTCGGATAATACCGGTGAAGCGGTGGAATTCGTTATAAAGCCGTCGGTACTATTCGCTGAACTCGAACTAGGAGCTTGCCATTTCGGTATTATCAAATTATTTTCTGCTAGACTATCATTTGTTGCTGAATCAGGGACGAGAAAATCTGGAGGCGGTAGGAGAGACGGTTCTCGTTCGCTGGTGCCGCCTTCTTTTATACTTGGGGATGCGATATCCTGAGCTTCCTCGTATTAGTATATAAACGCACGTATAATGTTATTGAGGGTTTAGAGAGTAAGGGAAGAGGATGATAGCTACCTTGCCCATCGTGACTTTTGTTTACTGTCACCGGTTTATGATTTTCGGCGTCACGGATGGTCGAAGCATGATCAGGTATTAGCGTCGCCATACCGGTCGTTTTTATGGGGATGCTTCAACAAGAAGTTCGGGTTGCACCTGAAAATGAAAGCCCCGCGGTGCTCAAGCTTGTGAAGGACAGTTTGGCGGTCGATCACGTGGCTGCGGGTCCTTGCAGGGGCTTGGCATTGGTTGCTGTATCGAGAACAACGCGGTTTGATTGATATTTGCAACAGTGCAATCTGAGCATGCTCGATCGATTATTTCTCGATTTCTAGTTTTCATACTACGGTTGATGATATTGTAGGGATTTTTTGATCTAATTGGCCCACGCCTATCTACAGAATATCAGCTGTTAAAGGGATACAATATACAGCAATATCGTTGTCGTAACTTCCATGAACTCCTCTGTGGCATGGTATCACAGTCTTAAATTAAGACAGCTATACACCTAAATCAATAGGTCTGCACAAAGTTCTTAAATTAAGACATTTATGTCAGCGTACACAAAACTCTTAAATTAAGATAATTGTTCCTTGTAAATACACGTGTTTAATAAGAGAGCTCGAGACCGTATGTAGCCTATTTTGCCACTTAGTTAATCCTCTAACTATCCACCCTACTAGCTTCAGACCTTCGAGTCTATCTAGTTTAGATACTTGAGGCTACCGTCGGTTTGGTTCGTAGTCGTAAGAGTTTATGAAGATATACAAATGTAAATTTATGATGATTCGTCACCTAAACACCCCCTTAGCCTATTCATGGTACGCGGTGCCCGTAGTCTCGTATCGGCTCTAGACGGTATATTTCTAATCCTAATCGCTACGTGCAGGGTCACTCTTAAATCCATTGGGTTATTGAATGGAAAGATAATTCTGGTTTATGTGTTCTCAAATAAATTATAATCTCGCGCCAAGATAAATTACATATTTTCCGCAATCAAATATTGCAAAACGTAAAATCATTTTTAATATACTTACAATATTCCAGTCTGTAGGCTTTTCAAATAAGGAATCATATATACTCGGTTTTAGATTTTGTCTCCGATCAATACGTGAACTCTTCCCAACTAACTTCTCTTCCATGGAGCCATTCCGCTACCTCCTTGCGCATAGCATCTCCAGTGCAAATATACCACTTCCTAGCCTCATCTCCTTCTTCCACAATATCTCCTTTGTTGATCCTTCTTTCAATAGTCTCCTTCGCTTCAATCTCAATATCGTTCGCCTCTTCTCTCCTCCCCGTCACAAACAACCTCAATGCTTCTTTCATCCCCTCCATTCCCTTCCTTCCCAAAAGATCTTTGACAAGTCCCAAATCATCCTCCTTTACAGTCCAAAACAATTTAACATCAATCCCACTCTCCGCGATCCCCTTCCATTGCGCAATAAACGGTGTAATACCCACTCCAGCAGCCACAATGCCCACTTTACCCCCTTCGCACTTCTCTACAAAGAATTCTCCTCCAAATCCTTGGATTGGTACTTCTAACGCTGCACCGGGGTTTTGTTGAAACAAGTATCGTGTAACAGTCCCAACTCTTCTAATCGTAATCTCGAATTTTCCTTCATCTCTACCCGTAAATTGGCCCGGATATGAAGATACGGTAAAACTCCGGATGTAATCGTCATTTAACCCTTGAGGATCAGAATCATCCATGTGTCTATACCCAGCACTTAACTCCTCTTCAAAGCCAAGCATAACATACTGTCCTGCCCGCCATAATTGTTTTTTATCTTTATTACCGTCGAGTTGGAATGTAAACCTTGCGATTGTACTTGATAGTTTTTCTTTCTTCACTAGCGTTGCTTTTAGACCTGATTGAGAATTTAACCCAATCAACGCTTTTTGTCCTGCAGCTTCAGCAGCGAGATATCGTACTTCGGGGTTATACGGACTCCACTTGACGGCATCCGGCTCCGCGACTCTAAGTCCTAGCGAAGCTCTTGCATATCTTGCAGCAGTAACCGTAAATTTTACGGCTAATTTACTTTTCAACAACACCCTCTCCGCATCCGGTCCGATCAATATCTCCGTCGTTCCTGTAAGATACAACATATCACCCGTATAATAATCCACAAAGGTAAGCCCCGCCAATGGGGTAACTTGCAAGTTCCCAAGTGTTTGGTAAAGACGGTTTCCGGAGTATTCAGGCCAGACAAGAGATGTTGGTTCTTGGTGGTTGCTGGAACTTGATGCCGGTGGGAGGACTCGGACGAAACCGGAAGGTCCGCCGCGGTGGTTTACGTCCATGTCTGTGAAACCGTTGCGGGAGGCGACGAAAAACATATCTGAGTTGGAAATTAGATCTAGTGCCTCTTGAGGGAGTGTTGTGGGAACTTCGTAGTTCGAGGTGATGTTTGTTGAGGTGTCTACTTGGACGAGATCTAGATGGCGGGCTATTTTCGTTTCAAATCAGCGTTAGAATTATATTATATTGTGTGAGTAAAATGTGGTGTGGGAAGGGGAACAGTACCATTCATATACTTTGGACAATTCCCCAAAGTTTGTTCAATCTCCATCATAATCGTAGCCAACCCTTTTTCCTTTTCAACCCTTCTCATCCCTCTTTTACTCTTTCCATAAAACTTCACTCGCTGTCTTCTTTCTAGATTAACGGCTAATCCAGCAATCATCCCTTCTCCTCTAGATTCTCCATCATTCATAGTTTCGCTCCATGTTTTTTCATCTAGAGTTTCGTAAATGGGATCACCAGCTCCAAGGGCCGTTTGCAAGCCGATGACGCCAGGACCGAAGTTTCTAGCGAAACCGGGGACACCGGTCAACAAAGATGCCCAGGGCTGGCCGGATGGAGAAGTAGTTCCGACAGCAATCAAAGGGCATATTGAGAGAAAGTGGGAAACACCGGGCGGTAGATAGTATCTTGTGGGGTTCTCCTGGTATGGAACGTGGAGAAGGCGTTGGATATTTCCTAATGATGTACACAAAGTTAGAATGTGTTGATTATGTTGGAACAACGATCTCTCGCCCGATTGGGGGCATAATGAGTGTGTTGATTGTGTAGTATTTTTTCCCTTTCTGTCTCGGGAATTTAAGACCGAAAAAAATCTGGGGAAATTGGGTACTTACGTTCGCCTGGATGCCAGACTGCGGAGTCGCTAAAGATTGCATCCATGGCCGGTGCTTGGTGCAACGAATTGGGTCAGTATAATACGGTATTTGAAGAAGTAGAGATTCTTAGATGCCAAAGCTAGTTTAATTGCTCTTGATGGAATGAATTCATGAAATAAAGAGAGTTATGTATTATGAAGAGTTTATAAGTGAGCGGGGTAAAATCTGACAAGTCGACGGGTCAGCCGGCGGTGATGATTACTGATTAGTAATTTGAGGTTGTGCAATTCAATTGTATTCTTCCATAATGGTCGAAGGTTTCTCGTAGACGCAACGGTTGTCCGCTTAATTAGCACCCCGATTTCACTAATACTAAAGTAGCATGGGGACTATGAAACCCAACACACATCAATCTACACATCAATATAAGTATTTGTCACCTTCTCTCTGGGAGCATTGGTTGGTTATTAAGATTAGAAATAGTATAAGGGTGAATTGAGATAGATTTCCCACGTCGAGTTTTTCCACATTCACCTCTCGCTTATGCGTAGTATATCCCCTTTTTAAGTATGGTTTTATATTATTGAACATGAGATATTATACTGCGTCGTGTGGCGCCATGGCGTTGCTCTCTGCTCGTTCAAACTCAGAAATGCGGTGCATTAGGTCTGGCCCATCTTGATTGTTTTCATTGACATATGATTTTCTATCAGAGCCTCAAGGGCTGCCTGCAGAATAGTATAACTAGAATACCATAGGCTCCGAGAATGTTGATGGGCGGGAAAGTAAAACAACGTAGGGAATTGTGCGCCGCCTAATGTAAGGGGAATCTTGAAGATGAGAAAGTGAGTATTAAGACCCGACCCGATTGGCAACCGATGGCGATAGAATCCTCGCTAACAATATACTCGTCGTCGTATTCGGAACGGTATTCCACTGGTAGCCAAAGAACATCTTTACCGTTCCACGTAATCCAGTCCCGATCCTTACTTAAGCCATAGCCACGAAGTTGAAAATCCATCATAGTGGCGTCTGAGTCTTCATCAGGGTTTGGAGATATATCCAATGGTATTATACCAGCGTTACATAGTACGTGTGAGTTGGTAGCACCGAATTTCAAACCTCCGACCTGCCGATTAATTTCACACGTTTTGAGGCACTCGCCGCTTTCAAGATCCCAGACCTTGATTACGCCCCCAAACGACCCTGCTGCTATTAATTTGTCATCGTTCGATATAGCGACAGATCTTATGACACCCGTATCGCCGTTGAGTGTCTGCAAGCAGGTACCACTCATATCACAGATCTTGATAGTGTTATCGTCTGACCCTGATACTATCAGCTCGTCATCATTTGAAAAGGCGACACAGCAGACAGCGTCGGTATGGACGCTAAGCGTTTGTATGCAAGTACCGCAGCTAACATTCCAGATCTTGACCGTCTTATCATATGATCCGGTTACTATTCGTTCGCCATCATTTGAAAATGCGACAGACTGAACTGAGCTGGTATGACCTTCAAGGGTTTGTATGCAACTACCGGTACCGCTTATACTCCAGATCTTGGCTGCGTTATCAGCCGACCCCGATACTATCCGACCACCATCCTGCGAAAAGGCGATTGATCTGACAGTGCTGCTGTGGCCGTGAAGTGCTTGTATGAAAGCCCCGCTGGTACTCCATATTTTGATTGTCATGTCACTTGATCCTGATGCTATTTGTTCACCGTCCTTTGAAAAGGCAATAGCTGTGACTGAGCTAGTATGCATATGATCATCGGATATTTGGTCCAAGGCCGGACTATCAGACTCCCATATCCTGATTGTATTGTCGTTGGATCCCGATGCAACTAGTGCGCCATCATCTGAAAAGGCGACCGCTTGGATGGGATCAGTATGACCGAAAAGTGTTTGTAATAAGATACCACTAGTAGTGTCTGATATCTTTACTATGTTGTCGAATGACCCGGATGCTATCCGTTTATCATCCTTCGAGAAAGAAATTGATGTGATTTTGTCTGAATGGCCATGCAGCGTTTGATATATATGTGCCGAAGGATCACTAGTGATATCCCAGACTTTTAAACAGCTTGATTCGGTTGATGCGAATGCTATTCCCTTCCCATTATTTGAGAAAGCTATTGGGCTACGCCAATAAAGCTCGACATCCAGAGTTTTTGTACAAGCACCAGTTGCAGTATTCCAGACCTTGATGGTATTGTCCTGTGATGCTGATGCTAGCTGCAGACCATCGCTTGAGAGGCTCATTGCCTCGACACTTTCGGTATGACCCTTGAGTCTTCGTATACGATTACTCGCGGTAACTTTGGGGTTGCAGTCCCAAATCTCGATGAGACCGTTTTCCAATCCTAATGCTACCCGCGTACCGTCCTTTAAAAGACAAATAGCTTCTATCCCTTCCGAAGCCTCGCCTTGGAGAACGAGCTGCAAAGTATAGTAAGCGCTGGTTATGGCGTCCCAGATCTCGAAATTTGTTTTGCTTGAGTTGCAATTGAATGCAATTCGTAAACCATTGCTTACGAAGATAACCTGACGTTTTCCGTCCCAGAGAGCGCCACCCGAGGCTATATTTAATTCTTTTACACAGGTGCCACTCTCGACATCCCAGATTTTGACATTTCCCTCGCTATCCCCCAACGCTATATATGCGCTATCTCTTGAAAACGCGACCGATTCGACCGCGGCTGATGCGTCGCCATAATGTGTCTGTATGCAGGCACCCCAGTTGGCTTCCACAACTGGCGTTGTGGTGATCCAGTCTATTTCTTCTTCCAGAAAAAGCGCCCTGATGACACTGTTGATGGGACTAAAGACAAGAGCCGACGAATATAGCTGCAGGGGGTTATGCTCAAGGATATGTCGGTTTGACATTATGAACCTGCGGGCATCAGAAACCAGGTTTTTGATCTCTATTTGCATTTCAGACCTCGATATAGCGGATTCGGATGTGAATTTCTAGAGTAATTCATAGGTTAATGATTGCGGGTTTTATATAATTATATTGAAAACCGGTTTACAAAACTCACTTTGAGAAGTCTGGTAAGCTTAGCTGCCACACCTGGAATGCTTTTCATAAGACTCAAAGCCTCTAGCCAATGAAGGAAGTGTTCTGTCAAAAACTGATGAACCTCCCCGCCGTCACCGAGGATATCAGGTTCTCCGTTACCATCATCATCACCGCATTTGACCTCGCAGAGGTGGTCAACCCAGTAGCTACAAGCGTAGCGAATCGCTTCTAGTGGATCTGAGATGATTCTTTCAAGGTCTTCGATAGAACGACCCAAGTCCTGCAAGTTATAGGTGTCCCTCCGCAAAACATTACTCATCGCCATAAGCGACTGTAGCACCAATGTTTCTTGCTGGTTTTCGATACGCCCTTCCGGGAATATAATCTTTATACTATCTTCTTTCATAAGGTAGTCTTTTGCTGATTGATGGACAAACGAAATGATATTTCCTTGAAGTGTCAAGAAAGAGCCACCACAGGATTCTATAATCTCCCTCAATTCGTCGTCATCGCTAACACCAGAAACATCGACTAGAGTCTCTAGTTCCTTCAATGTTATAGGACGATGCACAATACAGAGAACCGCTAGGACATTCTTGCACAGTTCAGAGTCTTCAAGGTCGTTCAGGTTTTGGATCATCCTGCTGTAGAACTCATCAAGCCCTGGCGGAAATTCCTCCAAAGTTAAGTGCTTTCGAACGTTCCGGCGAGAGATTTTATACAACTTCTTACAAACCAATGAGACCCAGAGGAATGTTCCATTTGCATTTGATGACAAGTAACTCCGGATACACTCCTTTGTATCTTTGTCGTTTTGATACCCATTTCGTTTTGCTAATTCATCCACTTTAGAGCGAATGTATATTTCAACAGCCTCAGAAATGGACTCCTGGTTCAGTTCAAGGCATAACCTGACCTTATCGGTTGCATCGCTGAGATCCTTCTCTATGGTTGGCCAGTTACGGCTGGAGATTACCCACTTGACACGTGAGCTTGAATCCTGAGATGAATTCAAAACAATGAATTCGAGAAGTTGCGACAGATCTGTCGTACATTCGTCGAGCGCATCGATGATGAGATAAGTTCTTTTCAGGGAACGATCTTTTAGAATTTTTGTGAAAATACTGGATAACGTGAACCAAGTATTAACACCCTTGAATAACTCTCTCCCAGCGCGGTCGTACTCTTCCCGCACATATGATATTAGTTCTGTTTGCTGTTTCGCCACAAGTAGCCATATGAGGCCGCGTAGGACAGCTGTGGCATTATTGATATGCTCCTCGGTAGCCCGACAGAAAAAGAAAGAGATGTTTTCAATATCATCCATCGAACTCGACTTCCTCATTTTCTCCAGTTCGTTGACAATCCCACAGAGGAGCATAGTCTTTCCCTTGCCCGGGTCACCTTTGATCCAAAGCAACCGACTATCCTCGTCGTCACGCCATCGTTTGAAATCAGCGTGCTCGCAGATCCAGCTGTACGAGTCGGCCAGCAGACCTCCCTTCATTGATTCTATGCGCGTCTTGTCATCACATGGATCAGTAACCCTGAGGTCCGCCAGACAATGAGCATTTTGTGTGCGATCGAACTCATTTCCGATATTTAGATTTCCTCCTACTGTGATAGTTCCAGAACCAGATTGCTGAAGTCCTTGGCCGCGGAAAGAGGACTGGGAAACGTATTGATGATCGAAGACCGGTCGCTTTTCGGGTCTAATATCAGCTAGCTCGTCGCTGTCTCGGCGCTGGCGCTTAAAACTCTCCATAGTGTAGCCCCGAGATTAGTGTTAAAGAGGGCTAATTGATGCATGACATGTTTTCTGACATGCTGCGTTGATTTAGTTGGTACTGCGGTGGTGTGTTTTTGTGGGTCGGTCGGTCGGGCACCCTGAATTGGTTTGCGAGATAACCTTGAAGAGGCCTCAATCGTCAATTAATTAAAGATGCTTGTACAGCTGTGAACGTTGTCTAAATTTGGCATAAAAACTAATTTGCAAGTCTGCAATTAGTTAACTTTCTGACACGGGCCCTCTGCACTCGAAATACGGGACCTTCCCCTCTTTCCCCTAGTCTCGTCCCCAGACGCCGGCTACCAAAGTTTGACATACATAATTCGGATCCGTATTATGCGACCCTATTCCTCAACTTTCTTGACAAGATCCTTGCGCCGTGCAATTAATATTGGGAGAACTTATTGATACATATCTAGTAATTTTGCCCTCGAGATACCTATTGTCAGATATTTTAGAATATATATATGTCTACGTGTTCATATGATATTAGTTACACTTGTCATGAATCGCAGCAAGTTTGTCAAGTTTAAGCGCCGAGGCTGTTGCAATTCAAATCGATAGAGTTGAACTACCCCGCACGCCTAGCATAGCTTCGCCTTTTCGATACAGCTGATAGAACCCTGCACTGCAGATCTACAATTTGGCCCCACTATATCCTTTTAGCGAGCTTCAGTCTTCGATCACTGCACTGTCGCAATATTATATTATCCATGAGGCTACCATATAATTATAATATCAAAGAAAATCCACTATATCCTTACTCATCGACGTTTTCCTTGTTACATAGGTTTTTGGACATCAAATAAACTACTAATAAGAATTTCGATAAAGTAAAAACCACCTTAAAGATCCCAAGAATGTCCCAAGACTATAATTACGAAGACTACAATGTCGCCGTCATCACCGCCCTCGACTACGAAATGAGCGCCTTCCGCTACATGCTCGACAAAGAACACCCCACCTTACCCACCAAAGAAGGCGACACAAACATGTACATTCTGGGCGAATACAACGGCCACAACATCGTTATAGCCTGTCTCCCAGGAAATCAAGGCAAAGGCGCCGCCGGCATCGCTTCTACAAATCTAAACCGAACTTTCCCTTGTGTCGCCTGGAGATTTCTTATTGGAATTGGAGGTGCGGTACCAAGTTTCGAACACGATATAAGATTGGGTGATGTGGTTATTAGTATGCCTGAAGGAGTTCATGGTGGTGTTGTTCAATACGATTTCGGGAAGGATCTAGAAGATGAGTTTAATATTAAGGGGTTTTTGGTCCCGCCGCCGACATTGCTCAGGAATGTTGTGCAGGTTATGAAGTCGAATCACTTGCTTCAGGATAATAAGGTCGATGAGTTTATATCGTTGATGACGAAAAAGTCGAAACGGCTATCGATATTTAAACGCCCGTCGGAAAGTCTACAACCTGATATTCTGTACGCAGCAGATTACCTTCATATCGCTGGAGAAAGAACATGTGCGAATTGTAATAAATCAAGAGCTGTGAGTAGGGAGGATCGTGATGTTGAGGGTTCTATGATACACTATGGGCTTATAGCATCGGGAGATCGGGTCGTGAAAAGTGGTACAAAGAGGGATAAAGTGGCTCAAAGGATAGGTGGTGTATTATGTTTTGAGATGGAAGCAGCTGGGATTGCGACGGAGTTACCTTGTATTGTCATTCGTGGTATTTCTGATTATTCGGATTCTCACAAGAATGATGTTTGGCATTACTATGCGGCTGCTGCTGCTGCTGCGGCGGGTAAGGAGATGCTTTCGTATCTTACTCCTATTAATCGCTCGTCTGGTACAGCGACTTCTGGTGCTTCGTCATCTAGTCAGAAGGTGCCTTCTGCAGTGGATAGTTGGATGGGTTCGAGAAATGAGTTTAGTGGTGTGGGGATTCAACAAACCGGTTCGGGAACTATTTCTTTTGGAAGGGACGCAACTATTAGTGGTAGATATTGATAGTCAATTCGCTAATTACATATTCGCATATCTATCTGTTCTTGCATGCCATCTATAGATCTATAATTTGTGAATTTGGAGTTACCCTTGGGAGTACGATGTATGTATATTGTCGAATACAGCTAAAGAGATTGAATAAATAGATCTCGGGCGTACTTGTACGTGTGTACGCGTACCGAAGTTCGATATATATTTCTTCAAGTGATATCATAATTAATTCTCGTTTAAGAGCAAGGATCGGGTCACATAAATTATATAAGGTAAAGATCCTTGGGTATGCCTCTTCGTCGTAAGCCCGTGAAGGAAAATATAATCCTGGGCTCATATGCATAGGTCCAAACTCAACGCAAGTTAATGATGTTTTATATTTTCCGGTCCTACGTTAACGCGTTACGTTTGAAGATTGAACCGGAGAGGACAATTACCGCTGGAATTATCATCACAATATCAACGCAAAGCCAGTTGGCAATTGAACACTTGAATTCTGATATTATAGTCCAATCAGCGGTCCTAAGGATCCGATAACCTTGAATAGAATCCCTGAATCTTAATAATTCTGCCTTTCCAAGCTAGTAAGAAATATGTTGCTCGTGAATCCTCGCCTCAATGTATAAAAAAAGTGCACTGCCGTCCCGTCATTTCATCGGTGGGATATCCGGCTGTGGCTACTTATTAAACAATATGCATTGCAGAGTTGAAGTATCGCTAAAATGGTAAATCCGAGCGGAGAGAACTGGGCGATATGAAAACTCTCAACATGTTGTGTAACGTATCGGCGTATGGATAGCTATCGGTTGGTCGAATTCGAACTAGTACTCGCTTCGAAAGCATAATTATAGTTAAAGGCAGGGTGTGCCTATCCGGACAAGGATAGAGCCCTCAATGTATATATGGTCTTGGCAACCCGAGAACACGCATATTAATATATTCTGTATGCGGCGCATGTATCAAATCAATGCATTCCACGTCGCAATTGCATATTCTGGCTGATCCTATTCAATTTAGAACTAAGTTGCATCTGTGGTGTAGCTGACCACAGGATCCGTGGGTTTTATTTTGGCTCGATGAGTTCCGATATCCATAACTTAACTTTGTGCATGTGACCAGGAGGTAATTTTTTTGCGCTCGATTATCTCTAGGTTGATGATGCTAGTCAAAAGTTTGTCATTAACGCAGCCGATATTATTCGTAGTTACTATAAGTATGATAGGAATTACTACAATCGACTGCTTTTGATCTCTAGGTCATTTCTCCTGATTCTCGTTTCTCGATGGGAAGACTGTAAGAATATATATTTATTAGCCCATTTCGACAGGTTTGCATACTATGTCCATACTAAAATTCTCGCATTAGATTGTTCTCCGCATATTATATACGTATAGCTTTAGATTATCACATCTTGGCCTTGTCTCGTCGCTAGACTCCTCAACTGTGAACTTGGCCCTAGCTTGGCTACAGCCATTGCATTTGGTATCACAATAATCTATCAGCCATTCCCTATCAAATGAGGTACGCTACAACGAAAAACAGGCCTAAGCTACTATAGCTAGTGGAGGCTAACCTTTATAAATTTATACGAAGTTCGCAATATCGTCAGAAAATCGACCCCCCAAAGAAGGGAAGACACGGGAAGAATGGGGCGAAACTTGAAGAGTCGAAGCAAGTGCGTGCCAGGAGGATCCGAAAATTGGAATATAGGCTCGAAAGAGACAGAACTGCACAGAGGCTCACGGAGCTTGAGAATCAAGCAAGACAAACTCGAGCTGCATGGCGGGTTACAAAAAGCGAGTATGAGTTGGAGAAATTAAAAAGAGGAGAGCAAGAGTGGAATTTAGAGGGTATGGATATCGATGAGGGAACTCTGGACTTCTGCGTTCCAGAGAGAAACTTTGACGAAGATCCCGATACTCAGGTAGAGATGGAAGATTTACGGGAGTCCGCACAGCCAATACAAGAAGCCCAAACGGAAGTATCGATTTCTATCGATCCGAGCGACAGTCAGAGTGAAGTATACATCCTCAACCCTCGGATATATAGTGTACATATACCCAAATCTCTAGATACTGACTCAAGTATGTATGAATTAGAATTTTCCAGCTCTCTTATCCATCTCAACCGGCAATATCAATCCCACAGAGCGACCAGCGGATATGAAAACTAATGGCGTTGAGGATGAGGAAGCATACGACAGCCAAACGGTATCGGCTCCGCCGTTACCCCAACTGGTAGCCCAATCCAGTTCGGAAGCCAGCCCAACGAACCTAGAAACTCACAACCATAATGCACATACATCGGTTCATAATAATAGTTCCTTTAGCGAGATCTCTGCCAATGCGAACCAACCTTGCCAGTCTAGTCATCAAGCTTCTAGTGCCCCGGATGGCGTTTCTATTGGTGATGACGGTTTGCCAATCCTTGAACTACGATACTACAGGGAGATAGATATACCGGCGGATGGGCTAGAATTATCATTTCTTGACATGGACCTGGAAGAGTTGTACGAAGTTGCGGGTAGCCTGGAACCAACTCCAGAAACAGATCTTCAAGAAGTCAAACTGCTCGGGGTCATCCACTATTACATCTTCTCAAAGACTGGAGCAGTGGAAGACCTCCAGAATGCAATCAACAAAATAGAGGAAGTTGTATCAGGGACGGACATCAATAGCCCAAATTATGCTCTCAGCCTAAAGGACCTCATTACAATGCTTATAAAAAAGTACAATTGTACGGATTCGCTTGAAGACATTAGTCAGGCTATCCTACGGGCTGAAGAAATGGTAACGCTAACACACCGCGACCAAGGGCAACAATTTTTGGATCTATTCAGAATGAAAGGCATAAAAGCTATACGCACAGGTTCATCTGAGGAATTGAAAGAAACGAAAGCTATGTGGGAAACAATCACGGCAACAGATACGCTGGTCGGTAACTATTTGACTACATACGAACGGACCGGCGACAAAAACGACTTACAAATGGCGGTGGCAGCAGTCCCCGATGATCAACCGATCAGACCATTCGTCAAGGCCAAACTAGTCGACTTCTTCAATGCTAGATTCACGGAGACAGGAGATACCAATGAGTTACAGATGACTCTGACGATATTACCTAATGGTCACCCTATCAGACCATATATTTTGGAAGAACTAGCTAGTTCCTTTGGGATCAAATTCGACAAGACTGGGAGTATGGAAGACCTGAACATGTGCATCGAAACGGCAAAAGAAGCGATGGTGATCATGCCTCATGATGACATAGAAGAGAAAACAGCCATATCCGTTATGTTAGCCAACAAGCTTCAGAGTAGGTTTGAACGGAGTCCGACAGAAGATATGGCCGATTTGGAGATGGCTATTAAGATATTGGAAGAAAGTAGTATAATTTCACGTCATAATTCTTCGCATAGATCGGTTGTTCTGGGTTCGCTGGCAGCCGCTTTATACATTAAGAGCGAATGGACCAATAACCTTGAATATTTACAGATGGCGATTGCTTTAGGCGAAGAAATTCTGGCGGCTGAATCTCTTAATGGTTTCTTCGGGGGACCCGAGAAACAAAATCTAGCCGTCTTCATTCATAGTAGATACGAAAGAACCAGGGATCTCGACGATCTGCAAAGGAGTATCACACTGGCCGGGGAAGCTGTGGAATCATTCAATCGATATTACGAACACTCGAATGCAAATGCAAATGCCATAGATATCAATGTTGAGAATCAGCGTGTTAGCTGCCTGGGGAACTTAGCCGGCTACCTACATACCAGGTATGAACTGACCGGTAACCTTGATGACCTGGAGCTAGCTATCGAAACAACCAAGAAAGCCAGAGCAACGGTCTCTTCAGAAAGTCCATCCTATTCAAAGTGCCAAAATAATCTAGTCAACTACCTGAGAGAAAGATATCTTCGAGCCGGTAACTTCGATGATTTGCAGATGGCCATCCACATAGGCGAGGAACTAATACGTCGGGATAACAATCCGGCAAGGACAGCCTCACTAATTGGTTTAATCGTCACCTTTGGAGATAGATTCGGGAAAACTGGCAATATCGACGATTTAGACAAGGCGATCAAGCTATCCGAAGAAGCCATAGCCACAACTCTGGATCAATCCGAAAAGGCTATGATACTACACAACTCGGTTGGTTACTTTGCAAACAAGTTCGAATATACTGCCAATATTGAGTATTTGGATATGGCTGTGCAGAAGGCCGAAGAAGCTGTGGCTCTGAAAGCTGATAACCACCCTGAAAAAGGGACCTTTCTGGCTAATCTAGCAACAGCTCTCACCTCCAGATCCAGCAAAACACGTAATTTTAACGACTTTCAGAAAGCATTGTATTACTTCCAGGAGGTAGTGCGACTCCCTAATACGACTCCACATCATCGAATCGAATCAGCGAACTCTGCTACCCAAATGCTCGCCGGGAACAACATGTGGTCTGAAGCTAGTCAAATGATAGAAATTGCTGTGGGATTACTACCATTAAGTGTATCACGCGAATTGAAGCACAGGGACCAACAGCACAATTTAAAAAAACATGCCGGTTTATCTTCAAGAGCCGCTTCAATTGTATTGAATGCTGGAAAGGATGCATATGACGCGGTGAAACTACTTGAGCTCGGCAGGGGCGTTATGACGGGCTTGCGACTTGGGAGTCGGTCCGATTTAACTGAACTTAGGTTGCAACACCCAGACATCGCAGCGAAATTTGAACAACTCCGAGATATCCTCGATTCACCGGCTTCAGGCACCTTTGAGTCTGCGGTGATATATGATAGCAAGGCCTTAGATGAATCTCCGACTCTTCGACGGAAGAATAATGAACGCTTCGACGCAAATCTTGAGTTCAACAAGACCATCGACCAAATCCGCCTCCTCCCTAACTTCGAAAACTTCCTTCGTCCCCCGGCACCTGATGACCTAATGACCGCTGCTTCTCTCGGACCTGTAGTCATCATTAATATCAGCCGGTATCGCTGCGATGCACTCCTCGTTGAACAGCAGACCATTCGATCATTTCCGCTCCCCAACCTACTTCTGAAAGACATAGAAAAACATGCCGAGTTTATGCAATCGATTCGTTCCGCCCATCGACTATGTTCCGATACCCTTCGTCAAATGTTCCGGATGCTGGAGTGGCTTTGGGACGCAGCAGTGGGCCCTATCCTGGATTCACTAGGGCTCTCGAGTCCTCCAGTAAATGAGGACGGCGAGTGGCCGCGCATATGGTGGATTCCGACCGGCCAACTAAGTTTGTTACCCTTACATGCTGCAGGGTACCATCACCCAGGATCTACCAAAACCACGCTCGACAGAGTAGTCTCCTCGTATACCTCATCTATCAAAGCCCTCCTCTACGGCCGTCAGAACTCACAAACGATGACTAAGTTTACACCTGGTAAGACGTTACTTGTATCAATGGATCAAACGCCAAAGCAATCTGATCTTCCGTATGCGGCAGAGGAGGTTAAAATGTTACAGGGCCTTTTACCCACCCGTTTAACGACCGAAACAATCAAACTAGAACAACCAAATAAGCAAGATGTTCTGGACCACTTGGAAGATTGTACAATCTTCCATTATGCCGGTCATGGAGAGTCTAATTCTCTTGAGCCTGAGAAAAGCTCTCTTCTTATCAATGATTGGCAAACAAACCCATTAACAGTGGAACACCTCACTGAGCTCAACTTCAGGCAGAAATCTTCGGCACCTTGGTTGGCTTATCTCTCAGCCTGCTCAACAAGTGATAGTAACGCGGAGAAGCTACATGACGAATCCATTAACTTGGTGACCGCATGTCAGCTGGCTGGTTTCCAACATGTGGTAGGATCGCTATGGGAAATTTCCGATAAGCACTCCGTTACTGCGGCAGAAGAGGTATATAAGACAATAGCAGCGGAAGACGGTGGAGTTATAGACGGAAAGAAAGTTTCTTTGGGTGTGCATCGGGCCACAAGGCGTCTTCGAGAGCTTACGCGTGGGGTGGCCGGAAATAGGGCCATGGCAGATAGTACAGAGTCTCCTGTCCTCCCGAAAGAGATAGACGATGAGGAATGCGCAGCAGAATGTGCAGGGCTTATTCTGGAATCCTCCAGAGGAATAGTCGGCGAGGGTAATGAATTGAGAACTTCAAGGAAGCTTAGGCCTAGGGGATATGAAAAGGTAGAAGAAGTCACGGTGGGGAATCCACTTATCTGGGCAGCCTACGTGCACGTTGGGCCATAGGGATACTGATATATTTGAGGAATTGGCTGGCAACAAGTTGTAAGTTTCTTTCACAGTTCTACCTTCTGGCCCGTCCTAATATCTCATAATACGATTTTAGCCTATAAAATTCTGTTACAGATTTATCTTCAAAAAATCTTTGCTAAATCTCTGTGTTGAAAAATACTTCCTTTCTTCCCTTATTTTTTTCTTTAAAGAAAATCGCGTTTTATTCGAATATTAATATTTCTTTCCAACTTCTTTTGTCACTAATTACCTGTTATGATCCGTTTCTCGCATTGAAACGGTTTATGCTATTCTCTTCAAAAGCCAGCGACGTTATTTCTTTTTGTTAACTTTGTGGGAAAACTTAATTGGATTTATAGTCTGAGGTGTAAATTTAGTCTATCTGCTCGTTTTGTTGTTTTTGTGGTTTAATCTTGATGGTATGCTTGGTTACACAGAGCTCTTCTGGACTATATCTATAGCTAGGCCTAGGTATATAGACTAGATCGCGATCGACACCATTAATGGCCATTGCATTACATTAACTACAAACCTCGGACACTTGAAGTAGCTCGAGTGAGATAAGTTAATCTGCTATAACTATTAAGTAAGTAGGTAGTTATTCCGGCTGCTTAGGTTAAGCAACAGTATATCCATCTCGTCGATCGATATATCCTATCCTACGTAACGTTACGAGCTTAAGCCCAACTGTTGAATTTCTTCTTTGGAGTTTCCTTTCTCGACCCAATATCTTCAATCACCGGGGAATCCTGACTCTCAGCTTGAAACACCGGATCAAGGAACTCAGAAGTCATAGACGGAGTATCACCACCCGTCCACCCCGATCTCCTCAACATCTCCGCAATTGAATCCGCCGGGCTCTCCATCGGAAGATTAAGATTGGTGGTTACAAAGTCATTTGCCTGTTTCTTATTCATAGCTAACGGTCCTGGACTAAGTTGGTTAAAACTTGTTAGCCCGGATTTACCGGCGAGTGTGTTAAAACTAGGTAGTTGGTTGGCAAAGAAGTTTTTGTCGAAAGGTAAGCTTTGTCGGGAGAATTCTGGGAGGGAGTGTGGTGTTTGGAAGTTTGATGGTCTTGAGTCTAGAATTATGACTTCGTCGTCTTGTTCCATGTTCGGTTGTTGTGCTGAACCGCCGGGTGGATTTTGGGGATCTTGTACTGGTACTTGCGCCTGTTCCTGAGGGTTTAATATTTCAGCCGGCTGCGCTTCAGAATTCCCCCCAGGATTGGAATTTCCTTGTCCCATATTCCCCCCAGGATTGGCATTCATATTCCCAGTCTGTTGCCGTTGACCCGCCATATTCCTCTGACTCTGCATCGACATCCTAATCAAATTCTCAATCGCCTCCCTCCGCTGTTGTACTACCCTCTCCTCCTCAATAAACTTGCTTACAGCTTCCACACCACCACGTTCAAACCTCCCCAAGATATCCAGCGCTGCCTTAAAAGTTCTCGCTTGAAGTCTAGATTCCGCCCAGTACCATTGAATCCACAAAAGTCTGTTTTTATCCGCCTTTAAACACTCACTGGCTAATTTATAAAAATCAATCGGTCGATTCGCTAGTTCCTGAGGAGTACTAAACCCTCTATTCGGCTGCATATTCGGCGGTCCCATAGTTCCACCACCCATTCCCGTATTAACTTGTCCTTGAAATCCCCGGTTCATACCTCCTCCAACCCCAAAATTAGAATTATACCCTTGCCCCATATGCATCCCAGCATACCCATTCCCCTTCAAACCCTCCTCATACCTCCTCACCTTCTCCACCATCTCCGGTAAATTACTCCCAGCAGTCTGACCCCCCAACTTCTTCTGCACAAACCCCTTAAGCTTCTCCGCCCTCCCCGTATCCTCACTCAAAACCTTCTCAGTAACCATCCCCAAAACCAACGCCATCTCCTTCAAATCCTTTTCAATCCCCTCCACCCCCTTAGAAGTAGTATACCTCCCCAAATCCACATTCTTCACAACCCCCCGTTCAGAACTCCAAGCTTTAATAGCCCCTCTGGCTCCAAACACAAACACAGATCCTCCAACCGGTAGTTCCCCGGTCCAGTAATTTATTACTTGAGCGTAATGCATAAACTCAACCGCTTGGAAAGAAGTAGGCGTACCGCCGACGGTTAATCCGTCGAGTTTTAAATCAATGATGTTAACACCCTGAGAGTTTTCCGGGTTGAGGAGGATGATGTAATCTAGTCCGTCGTCTTTACATTTGGTGTTACGGTAGTATGCTATTGCGTTTGTGGTGAATGTTCCGGGTGTGTTATAGATTGTTGTGGCTTCGAGCGGTAGGCTCCAGCGGTTGGAGTTGAAGACGGTACATTCGTAGAGTGCGGTTATGGAATGGATATGTGAGGGTTGGGATGCTGTTGACTCTTCGTTCCAGCCTACCGGGAAGTTGAGGAGCCATGATGCGGTTGTGTAACCTGAGTAGATGAGGAGGAGGAGCAGGAGGAGGTGTATTCTTGATATCATGGTTTTTTTTTAGACAATTATACTTAATCAACGATCTTCTCGACAACAAGATGGTATCCTCGTGTTTTAGATTTTATTAATTTGGGAGTCAAAATTAAGTCATTAACACGTGCAAAATTTTACAAGACGTGAAAAAATGATCTCGATTCTGCGCACATAGCTAAGTATGGCGCGAAATATCGCACCCCCCCGGCACCAAAAATAAACAAATCCAACAAACTCAAACAGAACAACACAATTTTGTTCTTTTTCATACCATTTTGTTTAATAAATCAATTTTAAAGTTGGAAAATCACAAAATAAAATATAAAAAAATAAAAAAATAAATAAAAAT